CCCCCCCCCCTTTTTTCTTTTTCCCCCCCCCCCCATTTTTCTTTTCTCCCCGATCCTTCATCCACTCCACATTTCTTCTCTCCCCCCACCCCGTTTTACTGTAAAAAAAGTTTCGTCTAATTTTTAAAAAACAATATTTACACGTGAAAACGAAGCAAAGTCCTGCAGTAGAAAATGAGAAAAAAAAACTGCTGATTTACATCCTGAAATTGCCTCTAGAGAGCATCAACATTTTTCGGGGAAGCCCCCCCCCCACTCACCCCCTATAAGAAGTCCGCGTACACCCCGCAGAAATCCGCGNGGGGGGGGGGGGGGGGGATGGCACCACTGGGTAGGTACAAGTATATCGCGGATCTACAGGGTGTAACAAAAGTCCGTCCCACCCCTGCTAACTTTTGAAGGAATAAACCTAGGGAAATGAAACTTTGGGAATGTTCCTATCTCAAAGGGAACCATCTTTTAGCGGGGTCAAAATTTTGGGCAACTTTTTTTTTCAAGTAGCAACCCCTATCTTTTGATATCTCGTTCGCAAGAACATAAAAAACTAAGAATTTTGGCGCAAACCGCAGATCAATATCATAATTTTTGACCGAATTATGATAGGTCAAAGGTCAAATTTGACCCATTTTCAAAAAATCATAACTCCGGTTCAAATTATAGTAAAGAAAAAAATAAAACGGGCAAATTTACCAAATTGTGTTCGCTTTTAAGTAAAAATTGCAGAAATCACTTCGAACCAATTGGGNGGGGGGGGGGGGGGGGTCGGACCCCTAAATACGTCAAGTCAAAGATCATTCAATTTTCCCGCAAAATAAGCCAATTTCCCTTAGATTTGCCTCCACATTATCTCAAAATCAGTTCAACATTACGTTCGCAAGTCCTCAAATTTCGGGAAAAGTTAAAAAAAAAAAACGAAATTTAAGGTGATAAAATTTGGCCGTTTAAATTTCGTTTTTTTTTTTAACTTTTCCCGAAATTTAGGGACTTGCCAACGTAATGTTGAACTGAATTTGACTTTACTGAGATAATGTGGAAGCAAATCTAAGGAAAATTGGTTTATTTTGCGGGAAAATTGAATGACCTTTGAATTGACGTATTTGGGGGTCCGAACCCCCCCCCCCCCAAAANCCCCCCCTTAAAATTAGTTCGAAGTGATTTCTGCAATTCTTACTTAAAAGCGAAGGTAAATTTTCCCGTTTTATTTTTTTCTCTACGATAATTTGAACCGGAGTTATGATTTTTTGAAAATAGGTCAAATTTGACCTTTGACTTATCATAACTCGGTCAAAAATTAAGATATTCATTTGTGGTTTGCGCCAAAATTCTTATTTTTTTTATGTTTTTTCGAATGAGATATCACAAGATAGGGGTTGCTATTTGAAAAAAAATAGTTTGCCAAAATTTTGACCCCCCCCCCTCAAAAAAAAAAAAAAAAAAAAAAAAAAAAAAAAAAACAGATGGCTCCCTTTGAGATAGGAACATTCCCAAAGTTTCATTTCCCTAGCTTTATTCGTTCAAAAGTTAGCAGGGGTGGGACGGACTTGTTCCACCCTGTATATTGTACTCATTCAAAATACGAGTCATTCTCATTATAAATGACACGACGGGAATTCGAAAGTAATAGCTGTTTCCAGTTTAATACAACTTCCAATCCAACTCTCCCTCTTGACCGAAAACACCGGAAACATTCTGATAAAGCTGATCAATAGTATTGAGCTGATAGAGCTGATTGAGAAGAATATCTTGAAAATTCCCGCGATTTTCGGTTAAACTCGGAATAAATGAAATGAAACGTTACGGCCCAATCATGCAGCCTGGTTCAGAAATTGCCGACTTTCATTTGGTCCACGACTCCAATTCCTCTGTGTTAAAACAATAACACAGCATTCACTCCATAGAGTACAATAGAGTCGCAAAGTACTGGATCGCCGATGAAGTCACTTTTCGAGGCTGTTTTGTCCAGTTCTCCGGAGACTAGTGTGCGGCGACTAGCGATGACGCATACGCAGAGACTCGCGCTCAGCGCTTCCCACTCCCGACAGTCCCGACTCGGCTCCGTTCGTCGGCTAGACACACACTGAACCAGCTAAAATAAGTAGGCCGGTAATAAGTCTGAAATTGAGTCCATATATGAATATTATCTCGGAGTAACATACATTAATGGATTCATTATGGCTTTGAATATCTATTTCAAGCAAAATTTGCACAAATTAATACCGATGGAATTAAAAAAAGTCGAAAAAACACAAGCAGTCGTTGATTTCTCCATAAGCCACCGTGTAAAAAAATGCCGGTTGGTTCACACTTGGTATAAGTCAGAAATTAAATTCCTATATGAATTTTATCCAGGAGTAATATACATCAATGGATTCATTATGACTTTGACTATCTAATTATAGCAAAATTTGCACAAATTAATATCGATGAAATTAAAAAATGTCGAAAAAACACGGGCAGTCGTTGCTTTTCCCGTAAGCCGCCGTGATAAGAAATGCCGGTTGGTTCACACTTAGTATAAGTCAGAAATTAAATCCCAATATGAATATTATCCAGGAGTAATATACATCAATGGATTCATTATGGCTTTGAATACCTTTAAATAGCAAAATTTGCAAAAATTAATGCTGATTGAATTATAAAATACCTAAAAAACACAAGCAGTTCTTGATTTCTCCACAAGCCGCCGTGTTACAAAATGCCGTTGGGTTCACAAATGGTTCACTATTTTCGGAGCACACGCGGCTCGGAAACGCCTGTTCATGGATTGGCTTCATCGCCGCTCCAGTACTTTGCGACTCTATTGTACTCTATGATTCACTCCAATAAAAAAAAAAAAAAAAAATTGTGAGGTTGTTGTGAGGTTAATTCTTCCTTTGTCGAATTTTCTCAGGTCTCCTCTCCCAATGCCTCTCCTCGTTTTTCACCATAATAGTGATTAGAATGTGATCATTCCTCCTGTCTCAGTGAATAAGTTTTATTATTTGTACGTATCACACGGCAACTTTTGAAAATTAACTCACGCTTTTTTTCCCCCGCGAAATTAACTTGAGCGTAAGTTTCAGTGGGAAAGTTGTACATCTCTAAGTTCTACTACTCCTGACTCCTGTCTCAAAGCCGATTGAAACTCCTTTTGACTGGTTCGTTTAGCCGTCCTTAGTGAATGTCGGTTTTATCAGCACTTATCGAGAGACAATGAAAATTTCTAAGCTCTTGGTAGAATGGCTGTAGGCGATTCCGAAAATGTACCTTCAGCAAACGCCCTAAAAGCATGCAAGGAGAATATCTTCCGCAATGTGTGTCCATGGAAAGAACTTATTCTGGAGGTAAAACAAAATATCGTAGTTAATCAACTGACTCAACTCAACATAGGATAATTTTAGTTGATGTTTTTGATTTGACCTATAATGAATAATTCAGCTTAGTATCTATCTGCCGTTCTTTTAAATCAGTTTTGTGAATGTAGCACTCATACTACCATTAATCTCTCTAGATGCCTCTGGCGATTTTAAGAACTCTCTTATGAGGATTAGTCATATGAAGCATTTCTGTAGGGCAGCAATGGTTTCTCACCCGGTGCTCATCTTTGAATTTATTAGTGTCAACTAAACTACTGTGCATCAAATTCATAATCTTTTTGTCCTGGAGGGATTGTGGCGAATTGATGGAACAGCACCTAAATTTGACTGCTTAAGGTTTGCAGAGGACTGAGCAACAATGTTTTCTGCAAGTGCATTTCGGAGCTCTTACCTCTGCTCTATGTGTCGCAAAGTCGCTCTAAATGTCTCATGTGCTTCCACTCAGAAGTCTCTCAGCACTCAAATAGAGAAACTAAACGATCGTCCCAACCCCAAATTCGTCTATGGCCAGCCAACATATGAATCTCATCCTCACTTGATTAAACCTGAAGAATTAGTGGCTGGCATTAAACTTGAGGAATTTCAAGAAAGACGAAGAAAGCTCATATCATTAGTCAGTTACCAAGATCCAAACAACAAGACAAAAAACTTACTGCCTGGAAAGAAGAACACTAAACACATTATTGTGATACCTGGAGCAACCAAACAGTACATGAGCGACAAAATTCCGTATGTGTTTCGGCAGAATTCTGACTTCTTTTACTTAACAGGTTGCTTGGAACAAGATTCGGTTCTTGTCATTTCTGGTGAAGGAGAGGAAGATTTTATTTCTACTATATTTATGAGACCAAATGATAAACAAGCAGAGTTATGGGATGGGCCTAGAACTGGCCCTGAAAATGCAAAACAATTATTTGGTGTAGATAAATCATTTCCTGTCAGCGAATTAGTTCCATATTTGTCCTCACAAATTTTAGAAAGTCCCTCTCATACCCTTTGGTTTGACAATCTTCCACAAACTCAGCCAGTCATAAGAACCTCTATCTCTGCTCTCATGAATAATTTGAAAATTAAGGTTCCAGAATCTCCAAGGCCCTATATTCATCAACTAAGACTGATTAAATCTTTATCAGAGCAACGACTAATGAGGAGATCATGCGAAATCGGGTGCAAAAGTATAGAAAAAACAATGGCTTGGACCAAGGCTGGCATGTCGGAGCATGAACTGTTCGCCAAGGTAGATTTCGAAAGTAGAATTGGTGGTGCAGACCATCTTGCGTACCCTCCAGTTGTGGCAAGTGGCGATAATGGTACTATCATCCATTATATTGAAAATAAACAAAAAATGAGAGATGGAAATCTTGTGCTTATGGATGCAGGTTGTGAGTTTAGAGGCTATTCAAGTGATATAACTAGGACATGGCCTGTGAATGGAAAATTTTCTCCAGTGCAACGGATCATTTATGAAGTGGTTTATGAAACCCAAATGGAACTACTGAAATTGTGCGAAAATAGGCCGTGTCTAGACAATCTATTTCATTCTATGTGCCTCATTCTAGGGAATAAATTGAAGGAAGCAGGAGTGTTTAGTGTCAACACCACTGTGCCTGAATCTCTCAGCAAAATGGCACATGAGCTTTGTCCCCACCATGTGAGTCACTATTTGGGAATGGATGTGCATGATGTAGGAACGGTTCCAAGAACAATACCTCTTCAACCTGGCATGGTATTAACCATTGAACCAGGTTTATATATAAATAGACAAAATCAGCTAGCAAGGCCAGAATTTCGCGGGATAGGCGTTAGGATTGAAGACGATGTTTTAGTCACTGAGACAGGAATTGAAATCCTCACGGAATCTTGCCCCAAGCACCCCGATGATGTGGAGAAAATAGTTCTGTCAATTGATAGTATCCAATCAATAGTACCGGAACCAGAAGGAATTTTACATTGAGCAGAAATATATTCTATTGCTATCATTAAGTAAGTTATTCCTGATTTTTACTGCTCTTCAGCTAGAATGCAAAAAAATATTTTTACTTATATTTAAAAAATTCAGTTTTTAGCTTGATACAAAACAGTTTTTTAAAAATTTGACAACTGGTAAATCTAGTACATGCTGAATAAAAACCAAGGTCTGCTTCACTATCAGCCTAGGCAGCAATTAATAGGTATAATGGGCTCATTGCACACTAGGGAACAAAGTTCACCCTTCCTTCTAGACTTTTAACAATAGAATGATGTTCTAATCCACCATAAAACTGCAAAAACACTCATTTTTTGCAGTGTTTCACAATCTCTGCTCCTGTTCTATTTTAACAAAAACGAACAAACCAACTTTGAATTTTGCTTGAAAAATTGCTTGGTTTTTTCATAGAATATTCTTCATCCAGAGAAATTGAGAGAAGTTTTCCAGAAATGGCAGTGAGTATTTTGCCATTCGGGAAATAAATTATGATAGGTAGTATGCAGTGCAGCAAAGCAAGATACCTAGATGTTTTGGCAGTTTCCCGTTTGCAGAAAGTTCTGGTATGTTAGGTTTATGAATCTAATTGTGACCTTGGTTTTCCCAACCATGCAATAGTTTTTCAGAAAATCAAATATTTTCTGGTTAGGTATGCTTTCAAAGAAATGCATATTTTCTACCCAAAAATTTAAACTAATGGCACTGAGGTCATTTTCGGAATCAAAACATGTTTGGCACCCTGATATAAACACTAGACTTGGTGGTAATATTACTATACAGAAGTTCCTGTGCAAGTTTCTGGTCAAACTGAGAAATGAGACGTGTATTCAACATTTCACCCGTGTTATTTACCATCCTCGCTAAAAATAACATAACTAATAATGAGAAACAAATTATTCTGCAGAAGAGAATCGTCCACCGGTGAAAGGGGGCATAACATGTTTTTGTAAAAACTTTACTGTAGAACAACTGGGAGGAGGGGGATCAAAACTCCAGAATCTACTGTTACATATTTTACAAACGGCCCCTTACTGCTGCTCAAAAGGCACTTTTTATTTTTTTGTCACTAACTAATTTTTTATCAATTTTTCTAGGTCATAAAAACAGAGCTACAGTTCACGTCCTACCAACTTCACAGAATGGACCAATACCTAAAGTTTGCCCGAAAGTTCAATAAAGGTGTAGAAATTTTAATTGGCTCTCCACAACAATTTAGAATAGCGTTGACACTCTTTATAGCAGCCTCAGGGATGACTTATGTTGTGTAAGTTTCAACTTCTTCCACCATTTCCCATTAGATTTTATTTCATTTGTCGCTTCACGTGACTGGAGGAAAAAACATAACCAGGGCATTTTTATGCTTCCTGTTGTCAAGTATTGATGAACCAAAAGAATAACTTTAAATACTCTGCACGCCGCAAGGAAACTGTTAGCTTTTGAGTTTTGTGCCTTTTTTGCATGGACTTTGGCACTGCAAAATGCACTAAACACATTTTTCTATCAAAATTGGAGTGGATCTGTGCAGGTACTTTCATGAAATCAAAATCCACTGAAAACTTCGACTGAAATTGGCCCTTGTAACTAGTCATTTCTTATTAAAGTTATGGTCACCCATAAGGAGAGAGCAGAGCGGCTCCATCACCAAATAAAATAACAACTTAATTTGGAGAAAAAGCTCCAAAAAAATAAAATAAAAAAAAAAAAAAAAACAACAACAACAACAACAACAAAGGACAAACAAAAATCTGGAACATTTCTTATTATTAACACTTCCATTTTCAACCGGAAAAATAAAAATAAAAATGAGCCGTCGATTCACTGTTATTCTCCGTCTTGCAATAACAGCGAATCGACGCCTCATTTTTATTTTTATTTTTCGGTTGAAAATGGAAGTGTTAATATTCTGAAACGTTCCAGGTTTTTGTTTATCCTTTGTTGTTGTTTTTTTTTTGCAGCCTTTTCCCTAAATTAAGATGTTATTATATTATGTGAATTTTGCCTGATTAAGTTGTTTTACATTCTTTCAACAAAGTTCTCCCATTCCAATTAGTGGTTGCATTGCGAGGTTTCCAGCAACCAGGAAAGTCAGGAAGAAGTCAGCTAGAGAAGACGCGTAATTAGGAGAGTCACAGTTCCCTGCAAGATTGTGAGCCAAAGCTCACAATTTAGCCGTCGTTGATCGAAATTTGAGTCCTCTTAGGTCTGAACTGATACTTGTTGCTAGGAAATGATTATTTTTGTGATTCTTTTTACTTGAAAAAGAGATCAGGGAAAAGGAAAAGTAAAATCTCCTAGATACTCAAGAATAGGTGCATTTTTAACTTTCAGTTCCCTATCATAGTTGAACTTTTCAAAAAGTTTAAATTTTAATGTAGTTACTCCACAATTTTTACAAGATAATGTATTTGTAATATATTACAGTACCAAAGTGCGCATGCAAAAGGCTCAGAATTCACAATCTAATAGTTTCCTTGGGACGCACAATGTATAAAAGAATATAGAAAGAACCATAAAAAAAAAAATAAAAGTTAACGGCTTATGTTCAAATAATAAAACCAGCACTTAACGCTTACCCATACTATAAAGAAAATTCACAATTAAAAACCTGGAAAAGTGGCGCAATCACTTATCAAAATTGATTGATGGTTTAAATTTTTAACTCACCCTAAAAGTACCTGTCTATGAAAACAATTTAAGGAAATTACGGCTTGATATAATTTTTTGTTCAAAAGATATGGTATTTTAAAATTTTCAATCCGGCAGTGCTGCCAAATAGTTGGGCAGAGATTCTTACGAAGCTTGGGATTTAGGGTCGTCTCCTACACACTGAAATTTGATAGATTTTTTTTTTTTTTTGGGGGGGGGGCTTATTTTAAAAATCCTCCTTTGCAGTTATTGAAAAATTAATGATAAAATTGGTGTAATGGTATCGCTTTGTACCAAAATGTTTTAATCCTCTTCTTCTGAAGTTCATTGCAGTGATATGTTAGACAATGTCAGTTTTCAGCTTGCAATATTGATTCATAAAGAGAAGTGTGATATGTATTTTTTATGTTAACTTTGCACATACCTTTCATTTTCCACTTGTTTTTACTCTACTTTTTATTTTCTTTTCAGCAAAGAATATATGAAAGAAGTGGATAGAAAATACGAAAAAATAGCAGAGGATGACCGAATGTTATTGGAACAGATTAAACGTGACAGAGCTGCAGGACGTAAAGTTTTTTTTGATATTGTTAAATAGAAAAATTCCAGAAAAAGACCTAGTTCGTTTTTGTAATATATTATATTAATTTCGTCTGGTTCTGTTTGAAAGTGTAAATAAAAACTTGTACTCCATTTTTTAATTTTTTTTTTTTTTTTTTTAAGTTGCTCAAATGTATACAGATAATCCAAATTGTTTAGACCCAAGTATACACAAAAATACTCTTAACCAAATTTGTTTGATAAGATTGCCAAAAATACCATTTTCAACATATACTACTTGTGTATCTTTGCAGAATCTCATAACAAACTATTTATTTCGCTAAATTAAAATCAAATATAATCACATACAGATCAAATTATAGGTTCAGAAGTGTACTTAGTTTCTTTTTTAATGAAAAATTAAAAAATTATTACATCATATTTTAAGAATACTTTTTTATAAAAGGAGAGGGTTGAGAAAATAAATTAATTACAATCCAATGAGGCGAAGAGCTAAGATTTCGAAAAATGCATCATAACAACTCGAGTGCGAATCATCAATGATTCTTGACAAAAAGACCTTATCTCAGTTGATGGTCAGAGATTCTCCGTAGGTCAATTGAACTAGGTTTAACAAACAAAACCACCAGATTGTCATCTGGAACAAATGAGGCAAACATAATGTTAAATGCAAGAATAGTCGCAAATTTTCTCCCGTCAAAAATACAAAGTGTCGAAAACTATTTTGATCTTAAACGGTCTTTATAATTTGCATATCATAACATCAATTTTTAAGGTGAGGAATTAAACTTCAAATATCTTTTGATTAGTTCGATTCTTGGTGCATTTCTGCCAAACACCTTCTAATTTTGTATCATAAAATGGTGTTTTGATGGTTGACAGCTATCTGATTATGGAAATGACAGCTAACAGATCAAAAAACACAGAGGCAAAAAATAATCAAGTTTGTCCAAACGCAAAGTGTCTACATCAAATACTGACAAAGCTATTACTTTTTCGGCAAATATCTCTATGAATACCTTTTTTTTAGTGTATTTTTCTTACATTCTAGTTTCGTCACTTATGCTAACATCGAGCCACTGTAGAAAAAATGTGCAGTACTGATTTAAAAAACCAAACAGACAGAAGTCAAGGTTTGTCCTGCCCCATATGATGATTTCTATAACTCAGTTTTTGGACAGACAAACTGTCAATTAGTATAGATTGAGAAAACTCAGCGTTCGGTTGTGTTTCCTTTATTGTCATGTACAGGATTCAAATATCTGAAAAGATTCTGTAATACGTGACTTATCCATGAACTATAAAGCTACTGGTACAATTAACTAGTGCAAAGATAGGTGAATGAACGCGAACAAAATACCTGATGGAGTCAGGACTTTGATTTCTTTGAACATAGCAATCGGCAAGTTGCACTCATCACAAAATCAAGATTTGATGATTCAAGCTCAGGGGCTCATAAAAAATAATAGGATCTGTCCAAACATCAAGCTTTCATGTCCAATTTTAACAGAGATATTGATCCTCAAAAACATGGCATACAAAATCATCCACTGCAGTGGTAATACATATGTACCATGGTTTTTTCAACCTTGAATTTGTCCATCAAGCAACCAGTGTGTATGGGTGTATCACTGATTCAGGTGGAAAAAACCATGGTAAATGATGCCATACATAATTTTTTTCAAGGAACAATTCCTCCAGTAATATTGGACGTGGAAACTTGGTGTTGGTACAGATCTCACTATTCTGATCTAGTCCATAAATCTAAGTCCAAAACGCTATTCTGTGACTAGCAAAACTGGCGTATTAATGAGCATAAATCGATCTTTTGAAGTTATGATACAAGTGGATTAGCTCAATGTGCTAAATGTTTTTATCACAAAGACGACTTCCGCCTTTAGAACGAATAGGACGTATTTCCATCAAACGAAACTACATATGAGCCTTGTGACATGAGCCCTGTTATGCACATATTCTTATGGGTCTCAGGGCTCATGTCTTGATGCACATCGTTCCGTTTGACAGAAATACGTCCAATAGTACTCATTAGAGAGGCACCTTCACAGATTATATAAGTGCAGATTACAGTAAAAAAATGTTCTTCAATGCAATTTTGACAATGAAGATAGATGCATCAAATGTAAAGTTTTTCGGGTGAACATGGTTTGACAGGAAAATGACTAGCTTCAAATTTTTAAAAGCTTCATTGGGCTCTTATTTAAGGTCTAACTTAATTTAAATTTCATGACTAAAATTTTAAGAATTGCCATGATATTGAAACCTGAGATGAAGTGGAAAGGAAATAATAATAATGCAAGAGTTTGCCAATAAGTAAGTTCTGATATTTTCTTTATTCGCAAATTTTATAGATGGATGAAAATTGTAAAAAGTCTTACGTTGGCCATACGCTTAGTTTGAAAACAAGCTTTGTTTTTAAAATTTGACTCACTGGTCATTGAGATTTACGACTTTTTCTGCACCCATTTCCTCTCATCACGGGTCTGATTTTTCTACTTCTGCGGCATTGCAAAGATGGCATTATCAGGTCGCAAAATTATGACAACCATTTAAAGGATGCCAAAGGGCTGTTACTGGTTGACTACGTACCACATGGTAAATACAGAAGAGTACTGATAAGTCCTAGAAAAGCTCAGAACTTGGATCAAACGGAAACGGCCTGGACTCCTGAGCCAAAGAGTTCTGCTCCTACATGACAAATCTGTAGCCTTTTCTCAGCTAGAGTCCCTCAAGAAATGTTGGGAACTTTCATTTCATAGATTTTTCCACAATTGTATTATTTTTCGCAGATAGCCCCAGGTGATTTTTACCTTTTCCTTCAACACAAATCTGATCTCGGTGGTCACCGTATTGGTAGTAGTGACGAGAAGGGGATGAAACACATCAATAGTTGGATCCAAAATCAGACACTACAGTTCTTTGCTAATAGGATGAAAAACTGGGTACCGAAACTGTGAAAAGTGCATGGAAAAAGAAGGTGCTTCAATCACTTTTCATTCAAATTTCCTTTTGCTGAGAGCATTACAGATGCCTTGAAATGAAATGCGCAGAACGTGCTTAGAAATCGGACCCGCGGTGAAAGGAGATGGGTGCAGAAAAAGTTAGATATCTTACCAACCCGATGGTCAAATTTAAAAAACTATGGCTTGCTTTAAAGCTGAGAGTATGACCAATAAAAAACTTGTAACAGTTTCGCTTTATTGATGATATTTGCAAAAAAAATAGCAAAACTTACTTATTGGGAGATCCTCAAAAAAAAAGAGGTAAAAAATGAGGACAAAGAATAATATTAGTGTGTACATGCAGTTGACTTCTGCTATCATAATGAAGCAGGACTTACTTAAATACTTCAATTGATGTATAAACTTATATCATTCCGCGCACTGATTCTTCCATGAATTTTAGATAAACTGACATAAATCTCGCAACGAATGCTTCCAAGTGAAAGATGTCCTTCGAGCCTTTGTGTACTTGATGCTCATACTTGGCAGCTAGTTCTGTGACTTCAGTTTTAATGGTCATATCACAACTTTTTGCAAGGTCCCTCAGAAGAAACTGAAAAGAGGAAAAATAACATTGAGACCATCCATCATGTAAAAGTGACATCAGTGAGTGGTTACAGAGTGAGGGTGTCTACAGATTCAACAGGAAAAAATTATGATTTTTTTCAGATTTTCTCTGACCAGTTAGCCCAGGCAATAGAGGATAGAATAGGGGTTTACCTTGCAAAATTTAGGTGAAATCAGGTTATGATTGATTCCTATGTAATTTTTTACGCTGAATCCGAATTTTTGGTTTCCCAACAAATTTTCCTTGTGCTAACTCCGGAAAATCGGAAAAACCGCGAAAAATCACGTTTTTCCGCGGTTTTCCCGAGATATCTCTTTTCCAGTGCGATATATCGAGAAAATAGTTATTTCCAAAAATATAGCTGATAAAATTTCCTATAAAGATGAACCGAACGTTTTTTTTATACGTCCATTAGGGAGAGTGCTGGAGCCGTGGAAAGCTCTAAAAACTCGTAAAATCGCGATTTTCCACGGTTTTTAGCCACTTGTGTGAAATAAATTTGTTCTTTCGCAAAATTTCAAGATAGTCTTACCTTAAAAATTAATGCTGTTTACTTTGAAGACAAAAATGATGACAATTTTTTCTTTTTAGGTCTAATGGGAGCGGTTATAAAGCCGTGAAAAGCTCGAAAATCGCGATTTTCCGGCATATTTTTGTAACAAATCTGTTCTTGTACAAAAAACTCATTTAAACTGACTTCAAAATTCAATCTTATAAAATTGTCAACATACATACGTAGAATTTGCTCCCTTGGCGCACCCTGGTGCTCTGCGACATCCAAACGCCAGGTGTGCTTATCTACGTAAAGGTAAGTAGACAACGAACGACGTAATAAAATAGTGCAATTTTCAACATATGTACTTAAATGATGTTGAAAGTTCGTTATATATCTAAAGAAACAACGGATATGGATTTGTCGAAAGTGAAAATAATGCAAAAAGTTGACATTTAAAGAATGTATTGATACAATTTTTCAATCATGCGAAAACAACTATAATAGTATCGTAATAATTTTATAATAACTATGATAGTAAATATGTTCAATGTCAAGCAGTATAATTCAGATGCATGATCAGGTATTCTGCTGAGTGAATGTCCTGAGGATCTGAAAGCATAATGAAAAGCACGGGTATAATGGCATACCCCAACATATTTTCTATCGGTGAAAGAGCTACTAAGTTATAAAGTTGGGTCATGGTTTAAAATGGCAAGAGGAACGTAATTGTTGAATTGTTATAGGTGTTATCGGTGTTTTTTTCTTTCTTTTCTGCTACCTGAGAATGTTAATTTGTGCCTACTATAATGTAAATTTTCTCTTCTTAATCAACTCATCGAAAATCTATTGCAAAATTGATGGGAAAATTCTCACCTGCGTTGTCATCACTGCCATCTTTGCAGTATTTTACGACTTCTGCATGAAATCGTCTAAATCGGAGGATAGGAACTTCTGGTTTGATGGATTTATCTGAATTTGAATTGCTCGTTTGAGCTTTTGCAACATCGTATCTCACCTATAATAGTTACCCGACCTATGTCAGCAATTCTTTCGTTCACGATAACTATCGTTAGCTTTACGTTAGCTTCTTCAAATTTTGCAATTTTGTCCATTTTGGTCTTATGAAGAACTGTATAAATTTTCGGTTAAATCGCATTTACCGTTTACTTATAAACGTTAATTAACGTAAGTGTCCTACTTACGCTGTTTTTCACTAAACTGTTTTTATGAAAGTTCCATTCCTTGGTTTCCTTGGTAACCTTTGTTTGCTATCAGCTGATGTTTTATTTCAACTTATTTTTTTCTTTTTTTTCATTTTTTTCCTTTCTGTTTTTAATAAATCATTGCTAGGTTAGTTCTAATTTTTTTGCCAGCATTTATTCTACCTACCCCCCCCCACCCGCAGCTCATTTTTCTAGCTCCATCACCCTCTCCCCACAACTCATCGATTTTATCATTTTTTTTGTATGGCATGTCTTGCTCCCCTACCACCATTTTTTCGGGGTTATAGATATTTCAGCGGCCTCTAGACCCGTGACTCCAGTCACGGGCATTTCGCTAGTACTAGAATAAGAGAGACGTATGCCTAGGAAAATCTTTTGGTATTAATCTGAGAGGAGAACAATGATGAATGCAACCTGCATTCAATACGGTTCGCAGATTCGATGGCAATTTTTCGCTTCCTTGGCATTTCAGGATCTTATTTTTGTTGTCAATGAGTATTTATCCATTGATTGTTGGTTCATAATGACGCTACAATTATTTGGAAATAATGTGACACTTGCGCAATTAATAGAGTAGTGTCATGATTGCTGAAATCAAGGATATTAATGTGATCTGCCGTAAGGCTAAAATTCTACATCTATAGTACAAGCCTCCCAAAATTATGAGTAGTTCACGGGCGCGTGCCATGATTACTCTCATTCTCCTTTTCTCAATTACCTAGAGTCGCCTCATTTACATCACTGATAAAACCGAAGTGGAAGAAACCGTGATTTGAATTTCCGCGGTATATGAAGTCAATGAGTACAAGTTTTTCAGCATCACTGGTCATTTCTATCAATTCAAATAAAAATAAAAAATTGAGTGAAATTAATACCTGCAAACGTCTCCGAACTTCTTTCATCTCTTCGGTCGTCCGCTGTTCTTTCTGTGAACGATTCAGGAGCATATTCCATAAATCATCAGGATCATCTACGATAATTTCCACGGATAAGTCCTCATTGGGTGCATTCTCATATGTACTATTAAAATTTCGACACATATTGTGCAATTTAATCCACCGAAAACATCATCACATTGAATTTTAAATTTTGAGGTATATTTTTAGCCCCATATTTTTACACAATATGATTAATTTGTGGCTTAAAAGTGGAAAATCACAATTTTTCGCATTTCTTGAGCTACCCATAATTCTCTATGCGGTACTTTTTGACCCATGCTAAAAGATTTTCACGTCATATTATGTGTTGACAATTTTATAAAATTAAATCTTGAAGTCTCCATTAGCTGAGTTTTTGGCACAAGAACGGATGTGTAACGAAAATATGCCGGAAATCTAGGAAAATCATTCCAGAATTTGTAGTAGTACATTCTTTAAATGTCAACTTTTTGCATTATTTTCACTTTCGACAAATCCATATCCGTTGTTTCTTTAGATATATAACGAACTTTCAACATCATTTAAGTACATATGTTGAAAATTGCACTATTTTATTACGTCGTTCGTTGTCTACTTACCTTTACGTAGATAAGCACACCTGGCGTTTGGATGTCGCAGAGCACCAGGGTGCGCCAAGGGAGCAAATTCTACGTATGTATGTTGACAATTTTATAAGATTGAATTTTGAAGTCAGTTTAAATGAGTTTTTTGTACAAGAACAGATTTGTTACGAAAATATGCCGGAAAATCGCGATTTTCGAGCTTTTCACGGCTTTATAACCGCTCCCATTAGACCTAAAAAGAAAAAATTGTCATCATTTTTGTCTTCAAAGTAAACAGCATTAATTTTTAAGGTAAGACTATCTTGAAATTTTGCGAAAGAACAAATTTATTTCACACAAGTGGCTAAAAACCGTGGAAAATCGCGATTTTACGAGTTTTTAGAGCTTTCCACGGCTCCAGCACTCTCCCTAATGGACGTATAAAAAAAACGTTCGGTTCATTTTTATAGGAAATTTTATCAGCTATATTTTTGGAAATAACTATTTTCTCGATATATCGCACTGGAAAAGAGATATCTCGGGAAAACCGCGGAAAAACGTGATTTTTCGCGGTTTTTCCGATTTTCCGGAGTTAGCACAAGGAAAATTTGTTGGGAAACCAAAAATTCGGATTCAGCGTAAAAAATTACATAGAAATCAATCATAACCTGATTTCACCTAAATTTTGCAAGGTAAAATCCTTTATTGCCTGGACTAAGTATTATCAAAAATTTCCTGACTTTTCACATTAATAGTTTACATGCGTAGAACCAGTTCTTTTTTGGTATTCTTGACCATGTGAGTAATTGTGTGAGAGTGTGTTAGTAAATGCTGCGGAGGGAATCGACCAAGCTACAAGTAGCATGCAAGAGTGTGAATTTTTGCTATTCAGCCGTCTAGTTTCACTCAGTGAACTCTGCAATATGAGACTTCATGATCCGCAGGATTGAAATATGACATTTTTGGCCGCAAAGAATCAGATATACTTAAAAAAAGCTGATAAAACAGCTGGAAACTTAGATCCCTTTAACCCCCTCACCTACGTATACGTTTGGCAGGTTGCATCCATCATCACCCTTTTTCACTATACTGGCATACATTAAATAACTTTTCCCTTCATTTGAAATGTGATTCTGTTATAAAAATTGTTTGCTTTGATCAAACTTGTTCGAAGAGAAAGGAAGAAATTTGACTGAAATTTCCACGCCCGGAACAAATTCACTTACTCAAGTAAAAACATTGATTTCTTAAGTCCTCCCTTTATGATCCCGTGTGTCCTCCACAGCTTTGACCAGATAGCCTCAAGCAGTGGCAAGGTATGGGAAAGTGGTAGAGGTGGAACCGAATATGAGAAATTATTTTCGCCATTAATTTCACTCTGAATGACAGAGACATGTGAGCCTTTTCTCTTAAGGGATTTATCATCCAATAGTCACTAAAATTGCAATTCCTCAATAAAAAATACTCCGATATCCAGTATTTAGTATGTAATTCAGAACATAGAACCCCAAATCAGATCAAAAGGTTTGACCAAGGAGACGGCTTATGTTTTTTTTCTTCTTTCTTTCTTTCTTTCTTCCAAGATTTTTCGAATTGCCATTCTTTTTCAAATAATTTCCTGACTCTTCCCTGATATCCTTGACCTGATAGCATTCCCGGACAATTCCATGTTTTCCAGAACTGTAGACACCCTGAACTAATTATTTTACTAGGATGAATTGTGTTCTTACTCTGAGCATGAATATTGACGGTGAAAAGACAAAATTACAGGTTTTGACAGGGATGTTTGAAAGTTTCTGCTCCCTTTTCATGTTTTAAAACAATATTGCTGGATATTTTAACAAACAATTTTCAAAGAATATTCTAGAGAGAGCGGAGGAAAGTCAAAAATAATTTTTTTCTTTGAAGATAGTTGGTTATTCTTTAATAAAAAATTGAAATTCAATAGGAAATCTTCTATGTTGTGAACCGAGATACCCCCACCCAGTCGGTTGGTAGTTTTACTATCACCACAGAAACGATAACATGGTGGATTTGATAGTTTCACCATGACTACAGAGACAATAAAATTAATAAAGTCAGAAATTGAGAACATAATAGATCCATTGCACTTCTCTTATAATCGTGTTTTGATGCTTACAGCTTATAGATAAGCAAACAAACTAATAAGACCTGTTAAAACACCAAGTTTCTGATCCCAATATTAATTATTCATCGAAAAACATGGCAAGGGATGTCATCCATCGCGGTAGGGTATAGCACAGTTTCGTCTGCCTTGATTTCATCTATCAGTGATACACACGCTTGCATTGGTTGCTCGACATAAAGCATGGAAGAAACCAAGAAGTAGGAAACTGTGGTATCCACTGCAGCAGTGAATAATGTCATACGACAAGTTGTTTGATGGGTGATATCTCTGTTGATATTCAATGCAGCAGATCTTCTTAATTATTGCTAATTTGGTGGTTAAAACAATAAAAACATGATTCTGTGACAGATGCAACTGATCCACTCATCAAATTTGACTTGCAGAATGCGTTTCTATATTTTTCTCCTCTTTGGTCATTCCGTTTTTGAAATTTCTCAAAATGCGGCTGGGTCAACTCCATCTTCTCTTTTGATCTGGGCCGCTTAAGGTCTTGTCTCTGTGAAACATAAACAGGTTTCTGTTGCTGAAAAAACAGCAAAAGAAAATCAGTAGTTCTATTTTTCTTTTTTTCAATATTTATGGGAATAGAATAAATTTAGATTCTTGTTTAATAATGGAACCTCTTACCTTAAAAATTAAATCCGTGGGAATTCCATGAACTAGCATCTCATATAACTTTGCTCTGACTTCTAACAGTTTTTTTGGAGATTGTTCACTGAGGATTGATCTGGCTGTATCCTGAATAAAGGTTAGCCAATCAGGTTCAACAATAGGTTGATTTGATGTAAAAGGATACCTAAGAAAATAAAAATAATTTGAGTGAATCGTAGTGACAAACAGGTTGATTTTTGGTCTAGACTGAGAAGAATGAAACTAAGGAAGTCAATGCTTGTGTCTCAGCTGAGCACCATTAGTCCAGTTTATCATTATCAACCAGGGGCGAAAAAGCCCTATCACACTCCTGGGCAAGCAAGTGAAAATGTGGAAAAGGGGAAAATTTTAGACGGTCAAAAGTCGAAAGTTAAAAGAAAAAAGATGGAAAGGTCATCACTTCTGAAAGTCTTAGGAAATGGCATGGAAAGCTTACCAAAAAATTGTTAAAAGCAAACTGGTATGCGAATAAAAATAAAAAACTTGAATGATTCCACAATCCTGAGCTCTTCATTGAGACCTAAATATTCCGAATTTGAGTCCGCTCTAGATCAGAATTTTAACTTTTCTCCTGCCCCCTCTAGTTGAACGTTCAGTGAAGTAATTCTATATGAAAGGTTGGCAAAATGCCTCGTACATTGGGGTTGGGGGGGTGGGGGAAAGAAACCGCCTTCAGTGTCAAAACTTCAATCAAAATTCATGAGTTATTACTTTTTTCCCCCTTTCATTTAGTATTAGAAGAACTGACATTAGTTGACAATGATTTCTCATTTGGTAAATTTTGTGGGTTAATACCTTCTAAATTATTAGAAAAGAGACAGAGGGAAGCCAAGTGATCGGTTAGTTGTAATGTAATGCTCTAAGAAAGAAAACATGTTCATTTCAGTCATTTTAACAGCAAGAGAATTGATTTATCCTGTCTCTTGCTAAGAGAGTCATACAACTAAACAGACCCCCTACTTTCCACAACGATGGTTTCTTTTCGATGAATGCCACCCAAAAGGCAAGTAAATGCAATAAGTTCTATTTTATACTCATATTTCAACACCTATCTTCTTGTTTTTATGGCTTTCTTTCAGAATGTGTTCTCATTGAATTCAACCCAAAAAACATCTACTATTTTCAGTATTGTGCAACTGAGAAATTTTTCAGTGACTACTTTGGATTTTCTCCAGTAACTCACAGAATGTAAAAATTATAACAAGGAATCAACAAGGAAATTTTGACACCTGGCTCTAAAAATAAAAAAGTAATGTTCACTGTAAACCCTTGGATTTTTTTCTTGGAAAAAATTGTTGAGAGGGGTAATGGAAGCAAATTTTACTAAATTTGGATATATCCATGCAAAAGAAGTATATCCGCGAAGTATTTCTCATGGTGATGGACTTTCATGGCGGAAATGCATCCACAAACGATAAAAACCGTTACAAATAAGGCCAGAAGTTTAAATAACAGTGTGGTCTTGCACTAATACTAATTAGAGTTCAAATTTTGGAATCTAATGACAATTTTTGGAACTATTTGGCCTTGATTTCTCTGCAGAATAGTGTGGACCCAGCACTATTCGACCACCCTCTTGTATCCACAAATAGTTTCAAAAATTAGGAAGTGAGCAACAATTTCCTCCTTTAGTTCATGTTTCCATTTCATTTGACAGAAAACTATAAAATATCAAAACTGAAATGAGGGACTGGATTAAGTGGGATTCTCCTTTTGTCAGATAAAATGGTTTACTTTTCTGCTTGTAATCAAATAATAGAAAGAAAGTGATAAGCACTCATTCAGTAAATTATAAAATAGCTTGCAGACATAAGCTTGGGTCAAAAGACTGAAGCTATCAATCTAACAAGGTCAGATATCCAGGGCTCTAATTGGTTCTGGCTGAAGGTGCGAATAGCCTGGATTTCAAAGCCCAAGCTCTACACAACCAATGAGAACAAGATGCTCCATCAAACTGAAGCAATCTGCAATACTTGATGGCGGTGTGCTCTAATTGATGGAGAAACAACCTATGGCGGCAACAATTTTGTTGGATTGATGAACTTAGTTTGATCCGGTGACCTAGGCTAAACTAGACTGAATAAAGGTCCTGAACTATTTAAGTTAAAAAATGTCTTTTAAGGTTCAATGGGTGACGAGAAGATACGAGGAGATGGAACTTACTGCTTCACTTTGCAAGCTTCACACATTAAAATGGCTCTCCTTAAATTACGATCACATTTATCAGCTATTCTACCAGCTAAATCTTCAGGTAGTTGCAGTCCTTCCTTTCGACAAATATTCTAGAACATTTATACAAAATAATTTATTGTAAAATCATAACTGTTAGTGCAAGAATGGACTAGAGAAGAATGTTCCCCCATGAAAAAGTTCATTGATCCCTTTAGATTGAAAAATGTGCCCCACAATGGATCAAAATTTTTCGGTTGTTTCTGTTTACATCAGTTGAGTTACTGACACAGGATTTGGTTCAAGTTTTGATTTACTGCCAACCTCTACTACAACAAAACAAATTCCCTTTGGGCGACAGTGCACCTTTAGCATTTGGTTTCCATGTTAGCAGCAATGAAAACTGCATTCAAAATTCTCTACCCAATCCCCAAGGGATGTGAAATGGTTGGATGTAAACATTGACCGCAAGTCATCAAACGGCACACTTTATTGTTTGACTTCTGGCGAGTGTTTTTCTTTGTTAGTTGGCAGTTCTGAGAAATGCTAAAAGTTAATTGAATTCTCTCACAGAAATTCACATTTACTGCTTAATTTCTAAGAATTGATTGACTTAAGTTGCGCATGCATACTGGACCACTAGACACAGTCAGAATTGATGTATCATATGATACATTATTTCATCAATATGGCGCGTAGAACATGTTGATTATGTAAAAAAAAATATGAGAGAAACTTTTATACAAGAAATCAGCATTTACAGCTTGCATCAGAATCGGTCAATTTAAACTTTTTCTTGTAAATTACTAGAGTATGGTTTCACAAAAATCTTTATCCTCCTTTGGAACATGTTAATTACTGGAAAATGTATAGATCAAGGAGGTTCACCCAAGATTTTCGGTAGTAACTCAGGTCGGAACATGAGGGTGAGATCGCGTTGTCCTTTTCACACAAACACTCATATTCCAGCAACAGGGCTGATTCCGCTCCTCATGCCGCAGCCCATGACGTTTCATGGGGAATGCGGATCCCTGATCTTACCTGTAAAATCAGACAGTCGAGAGCATTTCTAAAGTCACTGCAAAATAAAGATGTTTTCATAGTTCAGCTCTAACTTACAAATAAAATTGAAGTGATTTCAGGTTTAGTGGGAGCCGAAACTCGGATACTCAAACACCTACTCCGAATGGCAGGTATGACTTGAGAAGTTGAGTTGGCACACAGAATTAAACGACACGTAGCTACATACTTTTCCATAGTTCGCCTGAGTGCATGTTGGGCATCTTTTGATAAACGGTCAACTTCTGTTAGAAGTATCACTGAAAAAAGAAAGGAGAAAATACAAGTATTATGATTATTCCCTGTGGGTGATCTTATTAACTTCTCTTCTTCACTTACAGGTAAACTCTGAGCAGCCCTGAAAAGAGACATCTGTATGTGTTTTTTTTTTTTTCACAGAAAATTTTTTTTAACCCTTTTGGCAGGATGACAGGTTGGCTTGGATTTCCCAGTTTCTTAACTTTCTTTGACTTTTACAGTTTTTGATTATACAATTCCCTAAGGCCTGAGTCAGACAAGTTGGCAGTTGTTTACTTCTAACTTTTACACACAGTAGACAAATTCAGCAATGTCTCCTCAGGGGTAAGTAGTGATTTTCAGTGCCTACTCACAACAGCATCATGGCGCACTCAATCAATCTTTCATTGCTATTAGACAGCCGCAGCGCAATTCCTTGCAAACAGAGAGCAAGCAACTGCCAACTTATCTGACACAAGTTTTACCTATCTTTTCCTTCATTTTTTGAAGGTATTAAGCGTGAGAATTTCGCTTGATTGGAGACTTCCAATTTTTGCTGATAAAAGGAGTGTGATTGAGGAGAGTTAGGATGTTCAAGCTGATAAAGAATTTCCACGTTCAACAGCAAAACTTCCTGTATTTTCTCAATTGAGTAAAATGTTCAGACATTTTCAGGTTTCTTCTGGCTTTTGAAAAGCTTGTTAGGTAAGTACCGAGTTTTAGGGATACCATGAAAAAAAGAAAAATGCAAGAGAGCAAAGTTAAAAATGGTACATACCTTTGAAATCTCTTTGACCAGATGAATCTAATTGATGTGTGGCAGCAGCATTTTTAATTAACTCCATTACTACGATTCGATCATAAATCCCCGCATCACTAGGATTGACCTCTATGTGATAATTACTTGCTACTGTCATAACTTCAATTTTTTTGTTTGATGGAGTCTGTAAAGAATAAAATATTTTTCAACAAAAGTAATATTATAATTCGTGCTAAGACTAAATTTTCTGGAGCAAGTAAATTTCTAGGCTTTCCATACAAATTGATGCTGACTTCCTCGTAAACAAGACCAATCCACACAGGTCAGTCATTCCCGAGGACGAGTTTTAGAACTTTACTGCGCAGTGACCTAGTATTGAGTGCCTGCAATATATTTCTTATGGGAGCACCCATTGTGACGTAGCATTGAGTTCTGCAAGTTAGGGCCGGGCGGGGGAGTGGATTTCAAAAAAGCTGCGTAATGACTGACCTGTGTAGATTGGTCTTGCTCGTAAAGAACATAGTTTAGATACCTCTGCATGGATGAGCTGAAAGTAGGCATCAGAGGCCTAAGCGAGATCATACGGACATAAGTTCCTCTTATTCCTGTTTTTCATATTTTGGCTTTACTACAGTTAATGGGCAAATTGTCTTGATCAATAGGCATGCTACTTCCTCTAAATTAACTTTTAGTCCAAATAAGAGCCAAAAAAGTACAAGAAAGTAGGTAGTTATAAAAACTAACTGTAAAATTCATGTGCTCCATTCTTAGTCTTTCAACGCCTGATCCATATAGTTCACGAAGAAGAGCCATGATTCTGGTTTTCTTGCCTGCTCCAGAGGGTCCATAAAAAAGAAGATGAGGGAAGTCACCCTGCTGAACCTAGAATTAAATAGATTATTATCAAGGTTTAGTACATACAGTCAGTCAAAAACAGAACAAGACTTTATTTAACAAGACTGGTTAATCAAGATTTCACGCACTGCTCCAAATAAAATCAGGTGCTTGGCAATTCTCCATAGGTCCCATTCATCTCTTCTGACTTGACAAGCCTGCTAGTATGACTATCTAAATCAACAGTTTGGTGAAACTTTTTAAGTATCAGGATACAAATTTTTTTCATTGTAGTAGATCTACGGAAAATTCTTCTATATGCGCATGACAATGTCATTCATGAGTAATTATTACAGCAAACAAAATTTTGGAACTGAGGCATGTTTCCTAAACTACAGAGTAGGTACAAGATTACTAAATCGGTTTATCAGTCTAATGCAGGTACAATCAGAGACGGCAAGTTCCATATAGAGGAAAAATAAATGTGGCCTGGGTAGCACTGAACAATCCTCTGATTATAAAGACAGGAAGTTAAAAATATTTTAACAGAGATGATAAGCAAATGAAGCTTCTTGAATTCTCACCGTTCGCTGCTCTGTTCATCATCTGACCCAGGGGCGGACTGGTAGTCGAAAAGTTAGGAGGAGACCTAAATGTGAGGGCCCCTCCTGTCGTTCGGAGGCCCCTCTAGGAAGGTCCCGGGACTCACCCCCGGTAAATTTTGAAAATTTCACACTCTTTAAACACGTAGGCATTATTGGAGTTGGATTCTACAGCACTTGAACTTCAAAATAACCCATTCTCAGGATTCATCGGGGGTCCCTTCATCACAAATGCTTTTGGCGACCTTCCATGTCTCTTAGAGATAACTTTTCAAGGAATTCGGGGCCTTTTAGTGATTGAAAAGGATAAGAAAGTTACAACATTACAGGAAAAAAACGATTATTCGAAAAAAATTCGCCGCTGCAAATTATTAGGGGGCGATCGCCTCCCCGACCCCATGGCCAGTCCGCCCCTGATCTGACCATGATAGCTCAAGGTACACTCTACTACAGGTATGGACAAATAGAATTATAGAAAGTCGCCGAAACGCGTAGATTTGACGGCGCTCAATGGTACGACTGCAGCGCCAAATTGAAAACTTATTCACTTTCTGTTCTGAGAGTGGGTCTCGTCAATTACATGTTATTTTTTAGTGTTCTTAGTTAAGTTTCTTGTTAGTTTGACTTTGATCAATTTCTTAAATTCATCTGATAGCTTACTGAAGCTACCAGATCTGCCAGAACCTCACTTTGAACTGTGCGACGAAGACGATACAACTTGCGACCTCACTCGATGGCCTATATTCTTAGCGCTGCTACTTTGGCATCCTGTTTGTCTATACCTGTGATACAGTTTACCTCGATGATAGCTCCGAGTTTAGGACTGAACCCAAATTAATGCTGTTCATGCACTCTAAGTATTGACTCCTCACTCAATCCGAACCAATACTTTATCGACTTAGAATAATAAAACGTCAAAAAATACTTACAAGGTTCTTCAGCTGCGTGGCTTGACTTTTATGATAATCAAGTTTGAGCAACGAATTCGGCCTATACTTATCAACCCAAAGAGTCATGTTCGCTGCAAGTGAAGGAGGAGGAGATAACTTACAAGGATAAAAAATAGCTATCAATATCACTTCGAGACCTAGTAGTAATCCCAAATAAATCACAGATCCTAAAAGTTAAAATAAATCCGTGTCTACTATCCGTATCTACTGTTTCGGGTTTCGGCTAGGCATGAAAACTGTGCATTTGCAAGGCAAGGGCAACATAACCTAACATAACAAACAAACCTGAAATTCCCGCGCTTATAGAAGTGCTGCGTGCGCATGCGCTCCAAAGAAAGTATGAAAAATTGGCGCGGAGCAATTATTGCGCGTTGGCTACATGCTCTGCAGTTTTACAAGAGTGATAATTCCTCTCGCTATTTAAGAGGAAATCTCATCGGTACATGATTGATTGGTACGTATGCTCAAAACTACATAATTTTATCACAGTTAAAATTTTTTAAAAATAATTTTTGCCTTCACCCAAAGGACACAACTCAATCTGAGGGCTAAATAATAATTGAGGAGGAAGAAACTGGAGGGTTCTCAGCCCAAAAATCACCTCCTGAGAGTAGCTTTCAAAGTTTTGGTGTCAATGCTTTTAATCTATAAGGTATGTGAGTGATAGCATGATGATTAAGTCAGCACAAAAAAGGTAAAGCTCCTTCAAAGTTAACACTTAGCAGATTTACTGTTCTTCACTGAAATGTATATCATCATCGTTCATGAAACTACAAAAACATGAATCTCAGTTTGCGAGCTGAAGACTTCCTAGCATTACTTGTTTTCATGAGGGCAAAATCGTAAAAATGCCTCTACAAATAGCATTTCAATTAGTGTTAGATATTATTTCATTTTGCAATTTTTTAGCTTGCAAGTTTTTGTGGAATACTTTTTTCGGAACAAAAATAAGGACACAGAATATTTTTGCAAGAGTTCATTCAATTGAGAGTCTAATATCAAAACACACACACAAATGTATTTGCAAAATATTCAATGATTCTTTTTTTTCCATCTCTCTGGTTGATGGTACAAATCAAATTGAATTGAATGAAACAATAAAGAATCCATCCATTGAAACGCTCTTACTTCAGGTGAAAACAGTTAAAAAGCCATCAATTATTTTTCTTGAATTGACATTACATTTTCTGACTGAGAAAAAATAATTTTTTTTTTTTCCTAGTCTAATCCGACAATTATTTTCTAAAGAATTAGAACATGTTTTCGAAAAATAAAAGCTATTGTTTTTTTGTTTCAAATGGGAGGCGTGAATGCAACTCTTACTGAAGAAATCAATGCAAAATGAGTCTATTTTGCGATAGATTTCTTTACCAGGTGAAATTATTTTGCAAGTGCCTAATTATTTACCTTAAACAGCCAAAGCTCTCAAAATTGATAGCATACAAATTTCGTGCGTTTAAATTCTTTGACACATACTGTGATGGGTCTGCGACAACATCCCACCTACAATTTTGTAAACCAGGCGATAATGCCCAATACGGCAACAACACAATCTTGCAACGCAGGCTTACATGGGTGTAGTAATAATGATTTCGGACGCATTTAAAGCAAAAGGAAGTATATCTTTTGTGACTTTAGCCCCATTATGCATACATTCTTGTGGATCTCAGCGCTCATGTCACAATGAATATAGTTCCTTTTAATTTAAATTTGTCCAATTGAGCCTTACGTTTGGGCAAATTTAACCCGAATCAGTCTCACTAAATCAGACATCATCAAATTTTCTTTCATGTTTTGTTTTTCAAACAGACAGTGCTAAGCAACACTGACATTGAAATTTTCGACGGTGAAACTACCAAACCACGTATCTCGTTTGCGGTGTTTAAAAATCTACGCTCACATTTTATTTTTTTGAAGTAGACCAAATCAATATCATTCCTTGAAATTTTCACAGAATTTTCTCTGTGCGAAGAGGAAAAATCACAGAAATTTTCAAGACTGGACGTTAAGTAGTTTTTCATTTAAAAAATAAAGTATGACAGGAAGTCTGCGACGTCGCAAACCGAGATACATGGTTTGGTAGTTTCACCGTCGTTTTGAGTATATTCTTCATAATATAGGTTAAATTCATAGAAAGTTAAAAGTTATTTAGTGTAAAGTTTAGTTTTCTATTAAAAATCGTAAAACATGAGAGAAAATATGGCAACATGGGATGCAGATTCCAATTGAATTGGCGCATTTAAAATTTAGAGGACTTAAAAAGTTTTAATGTTTCCTGGATTCCATTTTGGGTTCGATGGCTCGTAAAAAACAAGATGAGGTTCTACTGAAATTGTGAGTTTCAATTTATTTTACAAGACAACTACAAAAAAAGGTAACAAGAAGAAAATCGCTTCTACAAAAATAGATTATTTAAAAATATAAAAAAATTTATCAAAGTCCTTATGATGGTGGTAGAACACCCAATGCTTGCAAGCATGCTTGAGCTGCTTCTTTTCGCGCCAGTTTTTTATTGGGACTCGCAACACCAGGTTTGTATTCTACTCCTTTTACCCGAACCTGTAACAGTTTAAAATTATGGAATCCATAGAGTAAATGCTATCTTAGTCTTAGAAAATATAGAGTTAGAAGCTCGACAACAACTCTTGGAGCACCCAGAGCGTCAGGGGTGTTATGTTTGAATTGCCAGCTCCACCGATCTAACCGTTGTATGTCCTTCCCATGCACTTGGTCTCTGGCCAAGCTCTCGTGTCCATCTTGTCTTTTGTCATTGTTATCCAGCGTGTTTGACAATATAACCTTATTAGTCAGCATGTTTCTCTGAATTAGACTTCCCTGTGTGATCGTCAACTCGTGTCGGTCACTTTCTTTAACCCACAAACCACATCAAGGGGCAGACTTGGATCAAAAAAGTAATCGGAAATATCGGTCTATCAGTGATTAGACCGGCATCTTTTGATTTCTTTTTGCGTTATCAAACAGTGAAAAAGGTCCAAAATTACTACTTTAAAGGTATACTTTTAGGTTACTTAAAGGTTACTACATTTAAACTGCAAGCTTGCAAATTTCCACTTAACAATCAATACAGCAGCAGAGTCCGTGGTGGAAGTACACGGCTGTGTTGAGGTAGGGATATGTCGTGTTGTTGATCGGCAGGTCACGTTAAATTAGATGATTGCCGTCGCCATCTGTGAGGTGAAAATTTGCATTCTGATGGCCGTAACAAATGGGTCAGTTCAAAAATGTTTTTAAGCGCCCTTAAATAGAAAGCATCATTTCTTCGCAGAGATAATTTTTCATGCGATTTTACCGTGTACACCGTTTTTCTTGTAATGAAAATGATGGGTATCAAATATCTACAGGCCAATACCTCCTGAACTTAACAGACCCATTATCAATAGTGACAGGGGATTGACTTAACGACTTTGGTTCAGAGTATCTCAATGATTTTCGGAAAATTACGTCCAGGAAGGAGATACTACACCCCAGAGTGTCCAAGAAGAACAGGTTTTAAATTACATTCACTGATAAATTTTGAAAGTCATGCACAAACATATGGAGTAACATTAAAAGAAGGGATAATGATCGGTAGGTCTGCAGAATTCATAGTGAAGGGGGTCTATTTACCTTGTACAGGAAATTCTTTTTGTGGTCTGGACCTGTTTCCATGCAAAGGTCAAACACAGGAGGTGGGATGCGTCTCTTCAAGCAGAACTCAGTGAGCAGAGAAACTGGATGTTTGCCTGAAAAATATAGATCTAATTATAAGTGTGTAATTACAGGACAAAAATTACATGGCCTAAGGCAGTGAGGCTGAAGACCATAGAAGTATAATTTAGATGTTCTGCTTGAAGACTTTACCATTTTGAGTTAAGAAATGAAAAAAAAAGCTGGAAGATTTAAAAAACAGTCATATCTAAGATCGGGGCTGTGAGGCACTAATGGTTGTGTGATCTCAACTCAGTGAACGAACCTATGTGTGCGCTTATACGTACATACCTTTTGGGCAAGGGTTCGATAGATGACTTCGGACACCAGTTTACCATCTCAGATATTAGTTTCGATAGTAGTTAAAAAGTAAGTCTAAAATTTGATAAGATAATTTAATAGATGTTGATTCAAATCGTAAATTTTCCTCTTTTTTCCTTCTTAAATCATAAAAATATTTTCAATAAAAATAGACTTATAATTTTCATACGTATGTTTAGCTCCTCAACAAGCTTGAGAAGTTAACGATCAGCTGCAGGATGATGGTAAGCCAAAGAGACATCAAGAAACTGCCTTATGCAGTACATACAGCATTACATTTTTTCCTTAAGCACACTTAATCTGCTGTTTAGAGAAAAACTTGTTTCAACAAATCTGGAATGCAACCACTCACAAGTTAGAGGCTTCTCATTGGCCCACTACTCAGAGCAATGCAGCCTCCTGACTTTCCAGGCTTGAGGTAATTAAGAAACTGCATCAAAATTGGAGAGGTAAGTGAGGAGGCAAGCAAACTTGCATCCCACTGAGTTTGCAACTTTATTTTAAAGGTTCCATCACTTTTCATCCACACTTTTTTACCTACAACATGTTAATCCATCTAATTCTTAGCCTACAAGGTAAAAAAAGTTATGTGCGACAGACCCATAAAACAGAATTATTGAATACAGATTTTGAAATTACCTTCAAGAGATTTGAAATTTGCCCGAAAAGGTGGAGGGGCTTTTGGTGGTGGCTTTGGGAAATCTTCCTGGGACACAAGACCTGAAATGACATTTAATCAATGACAATCACATCTAACGACAAGTAATGAAATAAATTAAAAAGTCCATTACATTCTCTTGGAGTCAATTGCTTGTGCGTAAACTGTAGGACTTGGGTGCAAAAAAGGCACAGCCCTGTTACAGTGTTTCAAAATCTCCCTTAACAATTTCCATTTTTGTGAGGAAACTACTGGATCATTAAACTTGATGTTTGGGCTAGAGGTAATGTTGAATTACGAAATCCTTTAATTTTTTTTCTTGTCCCGTGAGTAAAAATGAAATGACTATGAAATTCTGAAACCCTAAGACTGAGAAGTGCCTTTTTTGCACCCAAGTACTAGGCAGTTTTCAATTCCTGTCAACAGGAAAAACTCTAGCAACTCATCTTCATGTTTAATAATGTTACTACTGATGCATGTTGCGTTTTTCATTTTTGTTTGCTTCATGCGTTCTACACGGATCTACCCAATTACATTGGGTAAGATGTGAATCTCGTCTTGGCTGAATCTGTATCTTTTCATTACTTTCCTATCTTCAAAATTCTCTCTTTTCGGACGTTTCAGGACCAGCAGGCACCCTTATATTGTTGCCCCTCTGACATAAGGGTGTATCTCTATTTGCACATGAGCCCTGAAGTGCATAGAGTTATGTGGAGAACAAGGCTCACACGGAAATCGATATACGCCCTTACGTCAGAGGAACAACGGTATATGCCCTCTGTATTGTATATTGGTCCAGGCATCTCTATGGCTGCTCCATTTACACTGAGCAGATTCAGATAAGTACAGACAGATATCAATGACCAAGAAGCACAACCATGTAACTCCGTTGCAGTGTTTCAAAGTTGTCACTCTTCTTTTATTTTTTTGAAGAGATTGGCCTGTGTCACACTATCAAAACTAGCCATTAAAAAATCAAGTTCAGGTGTTGTGATTGGCTTATTTGCTGACTTGGACCAATCACAGCACTTGACCTTGACATTTTAATGGAGTATTTTGATAGTGTGACACAGGCTGTAGGCCAAATTTATGCCTCAGATTTACACACAATAGTCTGCTAACAGAGAAGAAGAGTCAAGGAAGTTTGCAAGATATTACATTGACGACTTTTCCAGAGAAAACAATAACAATGACAGGGAGTCTGCAAAGTCATAAATAGAGGTCATGGTTCCGTACTTTGACCATCGATATGGATCTGCCTAGGAATCAGCATGACACTAAGTCTACAAAATAAGGGAGTAGCTTCACAGCCTCTCTCCATCTTCTGATTATGAGAAATAAAATAAAAAATAAAATGGAGATTATGAAAAATAAATGAAGCAGTTGGAAACTGGGCTGAGTCCAAAAGAAAGGATAAAAGTGAACTAACTGAGCACCATCCGTGAAATTCAGAACATATTTTTGATTTGTGAGTGAGAAAAATTAGTTTGGAAAAAAAGCTTAACTTTCGCTTCAACTTGCAGACTTTTGGATGGAAAATGATAACAGTCATCTAAGAGATAGCTGTTAAGAAATTAGATACCTTTTTTGTCCATTTTCACTTCTAAAGACAGTGGTGTCAAAGAACCTTCTTTGTTTTTTCCGAGACCTTCTCCAGGTTTCCATCCCATTTTTTGAAGCAGAGTCATGCCCATCCCGCCTGAGACTGGTTTGGCAGAGATCAACATATCCTGGTTGTAATGAAAAGGAAAGAAAGAATGATCATTCAGTCAGGTGAATCAGGAATCACACATCACTTTTAACAGCTAAAAAAGCTGAGCCTTGAAAAATGAACCGATTTTGCGAAGCTTTCATTTTTAAAATTATGATAACTTCATCAAAGTAAATCAATCAAGAAAATGAGTCAGCTGCGCTGGTCAGAGTCGTGTTTTGAAGATTTCAGATTATGGATCAGCAAAAACTAATGACATCCATCCAAGCACCTTGCTTCTACGTCCAATATCAACAGATGTTGCCCCTCAAAAAGGACAGTAAATGATGTCATCTACTGCAAAGGTGCCTACCGTGGTTGATTTCACCTTGTTCCCATGCGTGTTTAAAGTGGTGAAACCTGTGCAAATGTACGTATCTCTAATGAATGAATCAAGGGTGGAAGAAATCATGGTATGCACTACTGCATAAGATGATATCATACACCATGTTGAATTTGGTGTATAACAGGTGCTCTTTGAAGAACATGGGTGTCCTTCAAAGGGCAATATACTCGTTAATATTGGATCTGAAGATTTGGCATTAGGATAAAATTTGTTTATTTTTGCTAATTTATGAGCTAAAACCATCCATATGCAATTCTGCAATTAGGGCGACTTACCCATTCTCAACATCATAACATTTTACGTCTACATCAAAAAGATATGTACACAAATTCCTTAAAAAGTATTTAAGTTCCTAATTTGGACGTATTTCTGTCAAACGGAACTGTGTGCATTAAGACATGAGCCCTGAAACCCATAAACATATGTGCATAACAGGGCTCACGTCATAATGCAGAATGCACATAGTTCCGTTTGATAGAAATACGTCCATTTAAAATGATCTCTCTTGAGAGGGAGCTTCAGACTAATATTCAGAAAAATCCGAACATTCTTTTGAACACTCAATGAGAAGAGGAGCTGACTGGGTATAAGGGACCTTGCATGTTACTTGTAATGATAGATTTCAAGGATAAATTTTTGTGGACAGAACATATTATTAGCCCGTATTGTTTCTTCTACTATGGCCTGCTATTCACATTAAAGCATGCGGCAACCTTCGTATTCAACATTTGACCGACCAGTATGGCCACTCTTCAAGCGGAGTCTGTTGTTACTCATAGAAATAAATGCTGCATTTGATAATGGAATGCCACAGCTACATTAATCTAATGTAAAGGAGAGATAGGTGACTTGTTTTCATATTGCACTGGCACTAACGAAGAGGACCCATTTACAGATAATTTTCAATTCATATTAGTAAAAAAAAACAGGGTCCTAAATTTCAAAGGGTTACTTTACAAAAATTTACAAGAGCTCCATCAAAGTTGAACGAGCACAAGACGGCACCATTCAGGAAGTAAAGTAGAGCTTTAGCAAGTTTGAACTTGACTACTGATTGAAAAAAATAAGGTTGCATCTCTTTTCAAACTTCAATAGTTCGTTAGAAACAGTTGGCAAAAAAGGACATCCCTGAGCTTCAGAAGTGAAAACACACTCAACACACTGGAAACAATATTTGATGCGTGGTTACCACTGAAATGAGAACCTTGGAATATAACAAACATTATTTAGCCAGAGCATTACAAAAAATAGATTCAACTGAGAGGCGTTCTGCATGTATCAAAGGCAGCACTTCCATTTTGAAGAGAATAACTGAAAAACAGATGATTATCTGTTACTAGGGGTGTCTGTCCCTTGTCATTATGTTACCCAACAACAGACTCGACTTGAAAAAAGGACGAACGTAATTTGTAATTTGATAATTTAAAGAAGCGAGATTTAAATCTGTGAATACTGGATAGTCAAAAAATCATGAGACTTGGTCAGGTAGATCTCTAGAAATAACCATGACAACGAATGAACATTTGTAAATTACAGAGTTAAAAGTAATGAAAGTGTTTTCCAAGAACCTGAGATGCAACCATACATCTTCGGCTTGCAGCAGAGCATGCAGTATAGACTACTTGAATTTGGAAGTTGAACTTCAGGTGATTTCCCCAACTTTTCTTGTGACAAGCCGTTATCATCGGTGACACACTACATACCATTTTGCTTGCTAAGAATTCTCATTAACACCACGAAAAATTTCCTCGGAGTTCCTTAATTGCCATTGATCAAGAGCCAGAGAAATTCAAAATTGAGTAGCTTGGCTGCGCCTACTCAGGGACATGGCAACAGCTTAATATCACTCTCAGGTTATCAAATAGACTCAACTTGATTAGGTTTGTAAATGTGCCAGTTGAAACCACGGGAGAAGATTACTCCAGCAATGCACCCTCTTAGACCTAGTATAAGAGGGCACAATGCGACTAACCCAGGCTGAGAGACTGGGCCTGCAGTTTTGTTGATCGGGGCCCTGTTAACTGATTTTATTGAAGAGGCAGAGTTATGTACGGCAACCCAGCTTTACACTCTGGCATAATAGTTACAGCCCAATATGCCTTCGGACACTGCCTCTATTATGATTCTTGTCCTTTGTGAAAGCAAGCAGCATTTAAAATACCACGTATTATGTATTGTGTACAAGACACCAAGCTCTATAGGTCAAGACTTTGTAGCAAAAAAATAATAACAAACGAAATAATATCCCTGGTTAAATTCCAAATTCTATTGCTAAGAGCCTCAGCTACTTGTGGTAACAACATGCACACCTCCCGCAAATTGAAGCTGCACGCTCATTATCAATCAGGGTTGCCACAGCATTAAGAAAATAAAATTCCCTGACAGTTCCCCGCCTTTCCGTGACACACTTTGGTGAAATTCCTTGAAAATTGAGGATATGACAGCTGGTAAAGAAGACATGATTAAAAATAGTTTTCAGGCAAAATTCGTTGTTTGAACCTCAAACCCATCATAGAAAGCAAATGAAGGTGATTTAACAAATTTTCCCTGACATTACCTCCCCGGTATTCCCTGACCGTGACAACCCTGATCAATACTCACTCCATTCCTGCCAGTCACACAGGACTTATTTCTTTGTGGGTGTGATTGTGGCCAGCCAGCTAGCATACGTTTGAGCACCCCTCCAGCTGGACACCAAAAGTCAAGCACCTTCGGGGATTCTCTTCATCAGTGACATTGAGACTAGTCAATAAGACTTGGGAGAAACCTAGAAGGTGCGCATCATTTAATGTCCTTCAGAGGGGAAGTTAACGGACAGGACACGCCAGCTAGCTGCAATTAGTCTTGAAAAGGGGAAGGTCCTAAAGGACTGGCAAAAGCAAAAAGAGCGATGATGATGAGTGTGCATCTGATCCAGCTGCAAGATGTAGAAATTGTTGCCTCGAGCAGCTTTGGTCAGATCAGCCAGTGTCGTCTGTTGCAATGAACTAACATTCCATTCACTTAATCCTGGTAGTGATGAGTTGCAAAGACAATAACTAAGCAGTCAATAACTTTCAAATGACTGAAAATGAGAATTTTTAATCTACTAATGTTCCTAATAAGATAAACTACCTACAGCTGCTTTAAAAGCAAACTTGTACGCAATTTCAATTTTAAATTCTAATTTTGGGAACTAAGATTTGGCACGAAACTTGGAGGAGAAAGTCGTGTTTATGATTCATTAAAAACTTTTAAAATTGGTTGAAATAAAATTAATGTTCTGTACATAAAATCAAACCTTACATGGATGGAAAGCAAGCTTTTCACCGAGCCATGAAAAGAGGGAATCTACTGAATTGACGGTTTTAATTCCAAACTCAAGGAAGTGATCGGAATTGCTCACTCATGCTTGGTTCCTGATAATTCTTGTAAATTAAAAAGAATTTAAGGTATCCGCAAAGAAGTTGAGAAACTCACCATCTCAATTTGTTAAACACCATCGGCAGAAACAAGATAATAACTCAAAATAGCAACACACAGCTGAAATCCATTGAGTAGAAAGAAATCCTGTTGTATAAAAAAGCCTGTAACAAATTCTCAGGGTGGTTGTCACTGCGACAGCTTCATTTCAAAACAAATATGCCATAATGCTTTTATGTTCATCGCAAAACTTCCAGTTACACAGACAAAACTGGCCCTGGAAGTCATGCCCAAACCAGGCTTTGCACCAAAATGCAAAATGGCATACGTTTTTAAGGAAACTGTCCCCAAATTTTGCCATGCCCATAAAAAATTTTTATTTTCAAGAAAATGTGGGTTTAACTGAGTGCGCGTCAGAACTACATACAATTTTGATGAAAGCTTCTTATAGCAAATCCGTGATTGAAGCTCAAGTGAAAAGGGATCTCCCGTCTCAAAGCAAAATTTCGGGCAAAATTTATTGTCGGCTACTGTTGTATAGAAACCAAAATATACTTGACATTTTGACACGGAGAATGCTCTGTGTTCTCCATTTAGTAGAAGTTAAATGGGGTTTCATTCATCTAAGTTACCGTTTTTTGGCAATTACTTCATAAGTTAAAACACAGAGCAGGTAATACTTAGGGCATGTCAAAAATTGGTTAAAAACGAGAAAAAAGTAGTGAGTTTCTAAATGAGACTTTCACTCCATCACTGATCCTTGTGCATCAGATAGCTCCGTAAAAGGAAAATCAGGTTCTGCCGTTTTAAACTTGTAAATTCATTGGCCAAGCTCAGTATGATTGGTCGAAACACAGCGTTTTCACATCTAATATCGAAAGATATAACTTGAAAAATCATGGTGCATGATCTCTAACACGATGAATCTTTGTTTTAACATGACGTAAATTGCAATATTGGAAAAAAAGCTTGGATATTATTTTTCGATTTATACCAATCAAAGGCATATCTGTAGTTTTTCTGACATTGATCCTCTTTAATCAAAGAGCATTCAGAGCAAGAATCTTAGAGGAAGGCCAAAGATCATGATGATATTTAAAAACTCGATACTAGGTTCTCATTTCACAATACTTATCTCATTCTACAGCAGAAGCCTGAAAATTTGTTACATGCTCAGATTGACAAGGAGTAAAATATGATTGCGCTACACTCAAAATAAAAAACCTCACTGGTTTTAGACATTTCCTGACTAGAGATTTTGATCATTTCTATTCATAAATTAAGGATTCAAAAAACACGAAAATTAAAAAAAAGGAGGAAAGTGAAATGCACAGTGGAAAATCTGCTAAAATATTGCTTTAAGCAGGTCTTCTTTATCAAATGCCATTGACATTTGAAGCCAGAATTCCAAAATAAACTTTCAAAAGAGAAACACTCAGCAAAGCCATTATGGGCTCAGTTTACTGTGATCAGGAATCATTATTCGTATAATAAATTTCACCTTGAGATAACTTTAAAAACATAATTATATTAAAAATTGAAAAATATGATTAAGAAATACTGTATGAATACTCAAATGAGGGGGACATTGTTCCTGAATGGAGTTGAATACTAGAATTAATCTGAACTGGTATGAGAGTATTGCAACACCTTCTGTCCTCGGAGGTATCAAATACTAGAACTAGAAATCTTACCTAACATTGAAAAGATTTAAGTTGAGGCACTTATGAATACATATTTATCATATGCAAAATGCTGCGATCTAAAATAAATTGATAAAATTTTGATAATGGCTCTTCGTACAGGCTGAAATGAAGTCACAACCGGTGTATTTGAGACTAAAGCTAAAAGCTGACAAAGCATACCTTTTTAACCCATGCTTGTGGTCCAGAGGCTAATTCAGCAGCTGAAAGTACTCTCACACCCGTAGATCCGGTGAACTGGCCAGGTGTTTGTTTCGACTCTGCCCAGGTTCGCATCTGTGAAAATATGTGAGGAAGTATAAGACTTGAGAGATTTAATTGAGATACAGTGGATACAGAAATTTTTTAGGAGCCTCCCTCAGTTTGTCGTTAAAACCGATTGTGGTCATAACCCAAGGTAAGTGATAATTAGGTATGCTCTTCCCGACCCTTTCCGCCAGAACTCAGCTTCCGGCTCTCACAGCTAGAGCTGTTGCGCCAAATTTGAATTTCAAGAACTTTGCTGCCTTGACCGAAAACAAATACTATCCGCTGCTGATGATGAAGACGAACAAATTCAGTGTAAGCAAATTCTTCAAAAACTAAAATTCATTTGCTTTTAGTGACGTGGCTGTTTGTTCATTCTTATCAACGGTGGCGTGGCGTGAATAATCGATTATCGATATCTCGCCATTTGAAGCTATGGTAAAGAATCGATTACTGAGGTGTTCGCTGCGAACACCCTGATAATCTATCTTTTTTCATAGGTTTAAATGGCATAATGATCGATATATCGCAATTCATGCCACGCCACTGCTTATCAACAGTAGACAGTCATATTTGTTTTTGGTCAAGACTGCAAAATTGTTGAAATTCAAATTTTGCACTACAGCTCTAGTGGCGGGAGTCGAAAGCCGAGTTCTGGCAAAAAAGGTCGGCAAGAGCATACCTTCATTTCACTTACCTTGGTCATAACCGATGCAAGAATAAATTGAAGCAATGGGATTCCAACCACAGGACTGATCGGATTACATTCATTGTTGTAAGCAATGTTGTAATATCCAAATTCTTTTGAAATTCTCACGTAGATTGTGAGTTGAATACTTTTTAGAAATATATTGAGAATCACTCAGTATGTTGTATAGGTACAATGTAAAAAGGATGTGCAGAATTTATACTTGGAATTTTGTGGCAAACAATTTGATCTCATAGTGATCCGACATAAATTCGTTCATATTCATTTGCAAGAGAAAAATGTTCTCTAGGTTTTATCCTTGTAGTTATTTCATACTATTACTTCAGTAAAAACTAAGCATAGATTCTAATATAATTGTCCTGTTACTTTCTGCACTTACATCTTGCTGCGCTTTATACATTGAGCTAATAGCTTCAACATCGTGAGGATTTTCGACAAGTTTCCTCATGGCCATCAGCCGCTGCGTAACTATGGACCCAATGTCTTTCTGAAAAAGAAAAAGAAAAGAAAAAATAACATTAAAATTTTGATATTGATAAAAAATTGATTCATTAAATGATTGGCCATTTTGCAAAATTGAAACGCTGATATAATTTCTTCATACATACGTATTTACATATTACTTTATGCAATTTTAGCTATCAGGCGTTTTCAGAATACCGTATGGACCTACTCCGAAATTTTCTGCAGATTCCATTGTTCAGATTATTTGTCAGATTGGGCGCACGCATTACAAATCTCGACACAAGCTAAGGCGAAGACACGCAAAACTTTTGCCCCTCAGCAACATTTCCCTTTTCACATTTTCAGGGACTTTCCACAAAGTCAAGGTCAATTTAAAATTATGGCTGGCGCAAGATTGAGCATTCACTGCACCCCCGTTTTAGAGCTCCTGTTATCTGGGTTTTTTATTATTTCAAAAACTGTAAACAATAAACAAAAATTTCTTACAACTGGTGCAACAGGAGGAGGAGGGAAAATAGCAGCAGGTGGTGGGGCGATTGCATTCGTCTGAAGAGGTGAAGGAATGACTGGTGTTGGAACAGGAACAGGAGCAGCGGGAGCAGGAACAGCCGCAGGTCCTAGTGGCATCGTTTGAGCAACAGGAGTAGCTACGGGCTGTGGAGGTGGCGCGGTTATTGCCAAGGGCGCAGATACAGGCAGCGGAGCAGCTTCAGTCTTTTTCGGTTCAACAGGAACCCATTCTTCTGCAAGAAATAGAAAAAAGATACATTATTAAAGTTCAAATAAAAAATTAGATGAAAATAGAGTTTACACTATGAAACCATGTGATTTTTTCTAAAGTCATAAATGTACTTTCCTGATTGATTTTTTAAATGTTTTGAGAGAATTTTGATGGTTCTACTAACCATCCTCAAAAGCAAATAATTTTTTTTTCAATCAGGCATAAACAAGAATGTGTTAAAAAATGATACACCTAGGCTACACAGTTCAAACAAGCTAAGAAATACAAATGTATAAAAATGCATATGGAGGAAGGAGACGATACAGCGCTAAGAGCAGCAGCCTGATTATTGAAACTTTGTTAGCCCGACACGACAAGACATAGCCCTATCTTAACCATGCAATACATCGCGATTCGATGTCTTATCGGGCTGCTTTAAACTTTCAATAATCCGCCCGTAGGAAAAGTTGAAAATGAGATAAAAAGAAGCAAATCTAGAATAAAATAAAGTCACAGTCAGCTACCTCTTAAGTCAATAAGAGCAGAGAACCCCATTCATAACAGAATACTTAAAAATAAAAACATCAAAACCGGCAAGCTTGACTGAATAAGTTAACGAGATGTTCAAAACTACATAATTTCACGATTACTTTGGTGAACTTCCCAAGTCTGTTCAAACATTCACCCTTATTTTCATTCTAGATATAATCAGAATAATCGTTCCAATTTTAAAAACATCAGGAGATTTGTACCTAACCATCTTTTTTCCATTCAAACTGGTCTGCTGCAGTTGCTGCATTAAAACCCCTTGGAATCAGATTCAATTTTAGAAGACAGATCATAATAGAATTGACAAAATAAATGAAGAATTACCAGTTTTTCTATGCTGTTGTCCACTTGACACAGGAAATTGAGCACTTAACTTTTTGGCTGACTCAGCAGTTTTTTCTTGTAAAGATTTCAAAGGTAATGGCTGAGCACCCTGAAATTTTTTACAACAAATAGACGTTAATTTTACATTCAAAATTCAATAGAATACAAGACTAGGCTGATACTTTCAAAAATTGTTTTCATTGATAAATGATTAATTTAGCTAGGAAGTCGAGAAACTTTTCAAGGTGACAAAAGAGCAATCTAAAATAATTAGAATCATCAAATTAATTAGTTGCAATTTAATGGAACGAGGGGGGGGATTGCCAAAAACTTTTCAAAGACTGGAGGTGATGAGAAAACAGATGCTTGCAGGAGGTAATTAGGGCACTAACTGAACTAAAAGAAGAACTGAAAACATACGTTTTATTGCATAAGACAGATATTTGGTACAAATTTAGAGGAAGCAGCAGTTTTCGTTATTATTCCAACCTCCAGTGAAACCTCAATTTAACAACTTTTAGCAAAACAACCAAAGTCGTTGTTATACAGAGGTTTCATTGTAGTTCAAATGGTGTTTTCCATTCATTATTTTAAATTTTTTTTTTTTTTTTTTTTTTTTTTTTTTTTTTTTTTTTTTTACATGCTTCAGAACAATATGATGATGAAGACCTCCTAAGATCTGCAAGACGTTCATATCTTCTCCCTAAGTAAAAAAAAAAAAAAAAATTTAGTGGCTTTGTGCTAAATAGATAAAACTTTTTTTATCCGAAATAGGGCATCTTCATACCAGCAATTCTGCCGTACAAGGGAGCCTTTAGTAGGTATGTAGGTTGCCATTTTTCTTTAAATAAAAAACGAATTTACTGGGAAAATGAGAACATGTTTTTGCAAACTTTTCAGAAAATTCAGTTCGCAATTCAATATAAGATACCTTAAAGTTTTGAGAAAAATATAAATAACTTTCCTCCTCGATAAAATATGTAAAAATTATTATATCCAGGAGAATTTGACAACTCTTAAATGTTCATACAGCATTCTTCCTTAGCACAGCAAAATTGGGGCTTTGAACACTAAGAAATTTTGGTGCGACGGATTAAAGCTGTAAGAATGTTTTTTTCGAGGCAACGCAGTGTTGACTGTTGCATCAATTCATAAAAACAAGTCTTGAGCCTCAATCTACTTGATAAAGATCTTAGTGGGAGTAGTAAGTTTTAAGTAGTACACAGTTTAAGTTCAAAACTGTAAATAGTCATTTGAAAATTCATACCTTTATATTCAGTACTATACTAGAAGGCTTATCTTTAATTTGGAATGGGTGATGAAATGGTTTTTCTGATTCGCTGCCAGAGTCATCTGTGTCGGAACTGATGGATTCATGACCATCAGCATCCTTTTGAGATAGTAACTTGCAAAAGTCTGTAAAAAATAATACAGGATAGGCACATTTAAAAGATAATTATAAACTTCCAGAAGGGGCATCAAGTGTCCTTCACATACAGTTATAACAGACAAAGCTATTGACAAGTGATGATCAATTTTTTTTTTTTTGCTCTACTTTCTTTGTCAATATTTTTTGATAATATAGTTTCTCTTTGTTTCAGAGGCCATGGTTTTTTATCCTAATAAATATCACACAATAAAAATCAATTTTATCTTACTTCGGAATAAAAATTGATGATCCTTTAAAATAGAAAAGTTTACAGGAAAATGAAGAGATACAATGTATTTAATAGAACCGTCAAAAAATGTGTCGTTAAATTTTAAAAGAGATCGGAAAAAGCTAGAGATCATTATGCAGATCCTTGGATTCGACTGAAAAATACCTAAGCTCTCACCTGTTAATTCATCAACTGTTTTTCCACCGGCTTTAAAAGTTGAAAGTCTCGTTTTTTCAAGAACAGCTTCAGGTAAGGCACCTTGTTTCAACATGGAAATTGTGTTTTTCCGAGCTATTTCTAATAGTTTTTTCTTGTCTATTTTCTCCTCAGATTTTCCCCTGAAAACAGAACAGTATTTCACTGGCTTTAACATTAAGTTATATGTATACTTACAGAATACATGTAAAAAAGATGAGATAAGAACTCATATGACAGCCTACGATAATGATAAATGGGGGAGTTATTGTGACCTAATCTTAGAGGGGCAAAAGTTGTTTGGAGGCGGCAAAATTTAAATGGTAGGTAGGAGGAGAGGACTTAGAAAATTATTAAAAAAATGCTCTGAAATTGATCAACGTTAATTCAAATCATGCCGAAGAAAGTCAACTTTAGGATGCAAGGTGGGAGGGATTGCCTCTCTCTTTTGCAAATGATGCTCCTGATACAAAAAAAAGTCAAGTTTTCCATCCAACTTACCTTCCTTAATGGGCCAGGTCACAGAATCGTGTTTTAATGCTTGATTCTTGTACATAAGCTAAAAATAATAAGAACTGTCCAAACCGCACTTATCTATGTTAATATTAATTATTAACCAAGATATCGCCCTTTGAAAAGTCGGGTTTTTAACGTCATCCACCCCAGTAGTGACACCCTTGGTTTCTTCCACCTTGCTTTCATCAATCAGGGGAACACACATTTGCACTGGTTACTCACCAAGGAACTCGGATGAAAGCAAGGAGAAAGAAACCAAGGGTGTCACTACTGCGGTGGATGACATCGATAACCCGAAATTTCAAGGTGCAATATCTTACTTAATATTGAGCGTAGGAAGTTTGGTCTAGACAGATCTAAATATTTTAAGCTACCTAATCTACAAGAATTAAGCATCAATCTACCATTTTGTGATCAGCGCAACTGACCCATTATAAATAAAAATTACAACTTTTTCAACAAGACTGATTTTATAAAGGTTTTTCACCACTAAAGGTTTTTTTTTCTTAATTACATGTCATAACTTCCTCAGATTAAATAATTTGAGTGATGTCAAATTCAAAGTCCATTAACGAGATGACAAGCTCTTTAAATTTTTAAACTTTCTTGATTTTTCAAGGTGGCGGCGCATACAAATGCATTCTATTTATAACACTCTACCCCTTTGATTTGAAAAAGTGTGATACTCAAGAACTTGCGGTAGTCGCTGCTTGCTATAATATCGAGTCATTTTTTGACTTGTCCCTTCTGCCTACAGACTTTAAGTGCAAAACTCTGTTAGCTGGGTGAATACACTGGACCCTGATCTGAAATTTTTTTTAAGAGTTTTACCTTGGTCTCTCAGAGGATCGATGACTAGAGCGTGACCGTGATCTCCGTCGCTTGTGGTCACTTCTGTGATGTGATCTGCATTAAAACGTTTATAAGATATCAATGAAATAGTATCATAGAAATTGAATGATACAGAAATAAATGCCAAGAACAAGAGATTACAAAGGATCCTCATAATAGGATAATTTTTTCATAGGGAAGAAAGAGCAAGAAAAAGCTAGGAAAAAAAGAAAAAATATGATGAACTGAAGGTAAATAGCTCTAATTTTCTTCATCTATTAACAATGAAAATTTGATTGTTAAAGAGCCAGTTAGCACACAATTTCTGTTAAGTCTTAGACTATCTGCAAATCACTCTGGATTTTCAGAAAATGACTCCATTGCACTTGTAATGCTCGATCGTGTGTGACAGCAGACTGATAACAGCTTGAGTTCTTGGTAAAATAAAGGAATCACTGCATCCAAGCAAGTAATCTAATATAAAGCACATATGTTGACCATTAACAATGAGTAGCAGTGCAAAGTCTGCCGTCGTGATGTCTTAGCTGAACGTTCAATTGCTAATATCTCTACGTTCAGTCAGTACTTTCACTTCAGATTTTTTGCAAGTTCCTCTAAATTGTAATAGCTGTAGTATTTCATCATTATCTCAAAATTGATTTTAGTTTGATGTTCCCGCTTAGGAAACTGTAGATGGACGCCTTCCATTACAAATTCAAACTGCCTTGACTTGGCCAATTTTTGTTCAAACAAGCTGACTTCAATCTCCAGCAATTATTTTTAACGCCCTTTTTGAAACGACACCGAGATCAATTTAACAGGTTGAATGAGAGCACAGAGTCAATGCGGAACTCATAGTGCACCTATTGTTTTCACTGGTTGCACAGTCCATAGAAAATATCAATACTGGCCAAACATGCCAAGATAGAAGTGAATACATACGAAAATACTAATTTCCATTGAATATAATTTGAACATACAATAGCTCACCTGGACCTATGATGATCTTTGTCTAGACTACGACGATCCTTATCTCGACTCCGATCTTTGTCATGAAAACGATGTCTGTCATGAGAACGATCTTTATCATGAGTTCGATCTTTGTCATTGATTTGATCCTTGTCATGAACTCGATCTTTATCATGGCTCCGGTGTCGGGATCTGTCCGTGAGTCTATGATGATCATTTTTCTCTTCACTAGAATACCTGGAATTGGAATGAGACCGCTTGCTTCTATCATGACTATGGTGTCTGGAGCTTGATATTTCTTTCCTATCTTTAGTACCATTTCTATTTTTTGACCTGGACCTTGATCTTGTTTTTCTTTCTTTTCTGTGTCTTACAGGACTAGGTGATCTGAAAAAAGAATTAGAAAGTAAAACGTGAGTTGTGAAAATTCATTATATATTAAAGAGAAAAGAAATGCAACCGGCACACCTACAACTCAAGACATCTCCTAAAATTCTCTGATGATAAAACTAATAAATAAAACTGCATCATATAATTTTTGGTAAATTACAAAGTTTTAACATTACAACTATACAAATTATTTACAATGGGCCTGTTGCAAACTTTTGCTGCTAGAGCAAAAATAAGAGTTGTTTCCCACAGATAATGCCTCAAAAAACCCGATGGGCGCATCGGCAAAGTCTGGAATGCTCTTATAACTTCACAATCTGCGTAAGAAATTTGTGTTTTTTTTAGTTTCCCGCTTCAAAAACGATACTACGGCACAGGTGAACATTTTGTTAGAGGAGTCGTTCCATTGTCGGCAATATTCGTCATAGCTGAGGCCAATTCGCCAAAACACGTGTGATGGGACGAGATAACACCTGAAAAGGATTAGACCAGATAACAAAAGGCGTGTTTACATTCATATTTTCCTCGCCCGCCTTGATTGACCTTGAACTCTCCTCGAATTATGCGCGGAACTGCGGAAGCGTCAGCGTCAGCCATGATGAATATTACCAACGATGGAACGACTCCTCTAACAAAATGTTCACCTGTGCCGTAGTATCGTATTTGAAGCGGAAAACTAAAAAAAAAACGCAAATTTCTTATCCAGATTGTGAAGTTATGAGTGCATTACAGACTTTGCCAATGCGCTCATCTTGTTTTTTGAGGCATTATCTGTGAGCAACAACTCTTAGCTTTGCTCTAACAAAAGTTTGCAACAGGCCCATTATAACAATAGATAAATTGTTATTGCATGGGATGCAAGGGGAATTTACTTTGGTAAGTCTTCAGAGATAACGTGCTTTGGAGAGTATACGGAGAGCAAAAACATAATTTTTTTGATACTTGAGGGTATGATAAGCTCCTTAACTGTATTTATGAATAGTCTTTAAATCATTCAACTTTCGTCCTTACTTTGAAAGAAAACCATGGCAGTAATATTTGATTTTCTCTGCTTATTTTGTTGTTAAATGAGTGGGGAAAATTTTACACTAAAGATCAAGAAAAGGATTGGTCAGTTTTCCGTAAAAAAATAAAACATGAGTAACATTTGGAAATACGCATTTTTTGACAGTAGCCATGAATATAAGTTGACACAAACCTTATAGAATCAGAATGACTTCGTTTCCTTTTCTTTTTCTCACGAGATGATTTATGTTTTTTATCACATTTTTTACTTTTGGACTTAGATGATGAACTTTTCTTCATAGTGTCTTTCAGATCATCTGAAAAGAGGAAGAGAACACATGAAAATGCATGGTTAATATTTCTGCATCCAAATTAAATCGATCGTTCTAAGCCAGATATGAAAATACAAGGAAAACAGTAAAATCTGATTTAATTAACTCATTCTATTGTACGTTCCAAACCTCATAAAACATTAATGAGCAAGAAAGCAATTAGTGAAAAATGGATTTTCGTCATTTCAGGAACTGTCCCCATAGTTTGAACCAAAAAAAGGGAAAAACAAGGAGTCCGCGCTAGGGTCTTCTCAAAAATAAACGGACAATTTCAAAATTTTTCCTTCATTTACCTGCAGCAAAGTTTGTAGTACTTTAATGAGGTGACAAGTTTTCATGAATTTTAGAATTAAATTTTCCCATGACTATTTAGGGTTTTTGAAAATAAAATTCCCTGAATTATTCATGAATTTTCAATGTTTTTTTTTTTNGGGGGGGGGGGGGGATGATTGCTAATGAACATGTGCTTTTGACAACAGATGCTCATGTGTTGTCAAATTACTTGAAATTTAAAAAAATAAAACGTTTTGGCCCGAAGAAAGAATTTCAAGGTTCTCCAGCCAACCCCTCTTGACTTCTCTAGGTTTTCAAAGACTTTACAAAAGCTTTTCACCCTATTTAAACTATATTATCCGAGGAAACTATCATTTACACTAGCTCTATAAACTTAAAGTTATGATTATAACATCCTCATAATGCTGCCACCATTACCGCTTACTACTGTTACGGCTAAAATCTGTTTTTATGAACAGGCATCAGTGACAGTCGGTATGACTGAGTCGCTGATGATGGACTGTTGATGAACAGCCAAAATGCGCCTGAAACCAAAACTTCTAACTCACACAAGTGANCATGTATATTTTATACCTGATTCAAGTGTTAAGAACAGATAGCGCTGCTGGACAGAAAAGTACATACATACATATACTAAAGAGTAATTACCTTTGGGACTAAGGGCTTCTAAGGCATCTTTTTCGCCTTCAGATAATTCAGACTCTGGTTTATCCGAATCAGAGCTGGAGTGAATTTCTCCATCTTCATACTTTTCTGCTTCTTTCTTTGCTTGCTCTTCAACTTCCCTGACAGTTGCTTCAAAAACACTACTAAATTTTAAGTTCTTAATAACTATCTTCCCTGTGGTTCCTTTAGCTTTATCTGCAACAGATCAAGAGAATATGTAGTAAGAAGTCAAAAATAATGGGGAAAAAATTTTAAGGATTGGACAGTTTGCTCCTCCATTGAAATTTAAAGGCAAATTGCAGTTTTAAGTGAAATGCTTTTTCAGTCTTTTGAATTATGGAAAGAATGATTTTTAACTTTTTTTCTTTCAAAGAGTACAAATTGCTAGCATTTAGGTTTGCCTTTGTTATTCAGTTTAGGGATTCACGTTTTGAAATCTCGTATACTTACTATACTGTGCCTAATGCTAGGACTTTAAAAGCAGCTCGAACGGGCTTGCATTGTGCCTCCTTCTTGTTGAACTTACATTAATCTGGTTTAATCATGCAGCGTAATGGCATCATGACCTATTTGCTTCTCAATGACACTCATTTTTCTACCATGCATGTTTTTAGGTATGCCTGATGGCCACCCATAATGAGCAAGGAGGAAAAGGATTCAATAAATTCAAAACTTCTATCTCTGAATCCATTTTTTATGTTTCTTCCTTTTCATTATTTACCTACCGACAAGACGTATAGTTTGCACTGACAGTAAGGGGCCATTTAAAACGTACGAAACACTGAAAATCAAATTGGAAATTTAGGACCCCCCAAAAACTACCAAACAAGCTTACACTAAACTGACAACTGACCTGCTGCAGGTTTTGCCTCACTAGAATCATTGCTCTCAAACAAAGTAGGTGTTGGATTTTTGGTGGCACTTTCTTGGACAGGATCCTTTTCTACAGGTGGGGTGGTAGTGGATGAGAGACTTTTTTTAACAGACTCTGTACGGTCGACAGGTTCTTGTTTTACGATGACTGGTAGAACCGGTTTGATATCTTTGAAAGAGTTTTGTGTGGGTTCATTTTCTTTCCCAGAAGATGTAGATTTTGTTTCTTTAGCAGAGGATGAACTTTTTGATGAATTTTTAGGCGCTTCTGATGGCACAACCATTTTGACATTATTAAATATGTCATCAAGAGTTGATTTAACATCAAGAAAAGAGTCTAATTTCTTTATTTTATTTGGATTATTGTCATCTTTTAAAGAGACTGAATTTGCTTCTTCATCTGACGCAGTGATAATATTATCATCGACCATGTCATTTTCTAAATGATCCAATGATATACCAACATTGTTGGTGATTGATTTAGGAAGTTTCTGTTTAATTTCAGAGTCAGAACCATCTTTGCTCTTTTTACGATCTTTCTTATGTTTTTTCTTGTGTTTTCTATTATCACTGTCAGATGAATCAGAACTCTTGTGCTTTTTCTTTTTAACTTTTTTGTGCTTTTTATGTTTGGACTTTTTCTTGTGTTTCTTCAATTTAGACTCTTTCTTGTCATCCTCTGATGAGCTAGAGCTTTCATCAGAGGATTTGACTGAATCAGAGGGAAACTGAGGAGGCGGTGCATTGAAAGCCCCAAATAATTCTGATAAAATTTCAGCTGAAGATTTGAGAGGTTGCTGTGAACTATCAACTGGATTGGCAGTTTCTGACGACATTCTTAAAATATCTGCGAAAAAAGAGAGAGAAAAATAGAATACGAGTGCATACATAAAGATAAAACTGACTTCATTCATCTTGACTAAACCTACACCACCACACAGTAATGGGCTCTCAAAAGCACATTACAAACAGACTTACGGCTTTTAGCATGTAAGTGCAGGTTGAATGTGGTATAGGTGCTGCATGGCAATGTACATAACTACGGGCTGATTATTGAAACTATGTCAGGACGGTAAGACAAGACATAGCCGTATCTTTACCATGCAATACATCGCATTTTGATGTCTTACTTATCGGGCTGCTTACAACTTTCAAAAGTCAGCCCGCTGCGAAGTAACAGCGGAGTTGACCAATTATTATTTCAACTCCGGTAGTAGAATTATTCAGGGTCTGACAAGACTAGAGTGCATTGTTTGGAGAGCATAGTGTTTTCAACTAAATGAAAACAGTGAAATGAAAGTAGGGCAAAGGATTTATGTACCTGTGAAAAAAAAAACAAAACAAATCTTTCTGGAGAGGAACTAATGAGAAGCAGATAAAGCCAACCCAGAAGGAGGTGAAGAGATTAGTTCACGGGCACAAAATGATGAACACAAACAGTAACTGATTGTCCCACAGAGGAATAATCATTTTAGAGATATCAGAAACTAAAATTCATCTTCAGGAGAGATCATATTAATAAAAAAAAAGTTCATTAATGATGACTTTATGATGATAAAATGGCTATCTCGAATTGATGAACGGTTTGTTTCGCACATCCCACACCGGTTGAAGATCGTTTTGTTTTGTTTTGAGGTTAAAAATTCCATTCCATGTTGATTTGTGATTGTGTGGTTGAAACACGTGTACTCTTCTATAAAAATTGACTTTTTGCAAATGATTTTACTTGTGAATCTGCTCTGTACATTCATTTGATTTATCATGTCAAGAAACCATTGTATAACATATTTGTCATTTGTATAATATTTAAGTTTTGTCTATTGGTGGAGTCGGACGCTTCAGGGAACCTCAGAACCCAAGCTGAATTACAGTGACAATCCTTCCACTTTCTTCCTTTTTTGAGAAATGGATGGGAAGCTGACAGGTATTTAGTGCATAATACGTTTTCTCCTAATCTAAGGATCAGGAATTGATCTACTAAGGTTACTTCTAAACGTTTTCCAACCTCAGAACTTCATGAATTCTGTGTGCTAAGAGTGGATTTTGATGTACTACTAATACTTTAGTACCTGGGGTAACGAAGACTTTTCACCCCGTGTGGGTCATTCCACGCCAAATCAGACCAGTGATTTGACCTGACCCCCTCAGGGTTTACTGAAATTTGGCACACTCCTTCTGTTCGCCAAGCTGAGCTGAAAAACGTAAATTTTAATTTTTTTGGATAGTTCGGGCAAAGTAAGAGACGTGGCACCTTTAAGAGCCTGTAACTTCAGAATGGTTAATCCGAGCGAAACCATTGTGGTACCAATGAAAAGACCTGTAAATGCACTTTTTATCCATTCACAAGTAACACAATTTGACATAACTTCTAATTTTTTTATTAAAAAATTGTAGGTAGAGTCGAAAATTTAAACATCTCAAATAAGTAGGGGTAAATTTAACTGTGCAAAATTTTGACTTGAAGTCGGTCATATCGTGAGGAATCCGGATGCAAAAATTCAGTGTGGAGACTTGATGGAGTCAAAAGTTATGAGCAAAAAAGTTCGTTTTTCGCGGTGCAAAAGCTCGGCTGCTGACGCAAGCGGCTCCTATCCGCGTATACTGTGGCGAATGTCCCGACCCGGGCGAAGGGGTTCCAGGAACGCAGCGGCCAGGAGCCGCTTGCGTCAACAGCCGAGCTTTCACACCGCGAAAAACGAGCGTTTTTGCTCATAACTTGTGACTCCATCAAGTCTCCACTCTGAATTTTTGTATCCGGATTCCTCACGGTATGACCCGACCTCAAGTCTAAATTTTGCTTGATTTAATTTACCCCTTTTTGATATATTTCAATAAGTTACAGCCTCTTAAAGGTGCTACGTTTGTCAATTTGCCCAAACTTTACAGCTTAATAAAAGTTGAACCGAGCATCCAAAAAAATTAAATTTAAGTTTTTCAGCTCAGCTTAGTGAACGGAAAGAGTGTGCCAAATTTCATTCAATTCTGAGGGGGTCAGGTCCAAAAGTGCTAATTTTTTGTCTAATTTGACATGGAATGACACGCGTTCCTTTTGTGACTCGACAATCATCTTATTTTGTCCTACTGTTTTGTGTTTAGAAGTTTACTGTATGATAAAAGAGGATTGGCAATGTGACCATGTGTGATTGGCCAAGTTAATAGGCACTTAGGTTGGATTAAATATACAAGACTGATTTTGCAAATAGATGAAGCCTGTTTAAGATAACTTATCTTCTTAAGATATCTTAAGATACATCTTCTTTGCAGTGCGCGTAGGGAATTCCGTACTCGACACATACAGCTTAAAAGGATAAGCTTTTCAAAATAAGCTCTATTTCAGTTTACCATGAGTATTACTCAGCAAAGTTTATGACTTCATCTCTTTGACTCTTTCCAAGTAGAGACTCTTTGCAAATGATAAAAGGAGTTTAAATGAGAACTTTTCAGTTTCATTAGCTTTTAAAGTGCATACATTTATATATTTTGTACTACAACACCCACTTAACTTATATTCTCTTTACTCTAAGTCATGAAGTTAATTTTCTGAATGGAGACACGTCCTTTCATATTATCACTCTCATTGATACCATTTATTTTACTCGATTAAACTGAGCAACTCTCATGTTCCCACAGGTATAGGAGTAAAGCAGGAGTAAACCTATTTCACTACAGCATAGGCAATTCGAGACGTTTGATCCCAAGTGAAAAACTAGTCATGGCCAAAGTACGGAATAATAGAGGCCGAAAACGAGCGGGTCCAAAGCCGAAGCCTCAGACCCAATCCAAACCTAAAATGAATCCTTTTGAGATTCATATCAATAAATCAAAACATCAGGTTCTAGGCAAAAAAGCAAAAAATGCTGTTGGATATCCAGGAATTGCCAGACACAAAGCCATTCAAAAGGTAAAAACCTCTCTGCTATTTCTTATAAACTTTTTAAACTCATAATGAATATTCTTCTATTCATAGCTTGAGGAATTTATCACTTCATTCATTCAGCCTTTGCCAAACCTTCTTGTTTGAGTTTACATCGTTCCACAATGACTGGCAAAAATAAGGCAGGCACCCTCTGTCGTTTTCTTTTTTAAACTTATCACACATTTAATGATCTCTTGCGATCCCAGGATTGTGCAAACGTTAGATACATCTTGGATCCTATGATGAGAACAAAACAATCACCCTTTTTTTGCTCCATGCTCCAAAAAAGTGGAGCAAACCCATTTTTTATTTTGTTATAAAATGGGGCATTTTGCCTCAAGGCATGTTGGTACAGGAGGCAAAAATGGAGGAACACAGCAAATGGTCAGCGTTTTGGAACTTTCTGAATGCTTGACCAGCTTTTGCAAGTGATGTATCATTTAATCTTTTCCATTGAACATACTGGTAATATTTATGAAAGTATTCTTAATTTTGAGGACGGTTTCAAGCCAGTGTCTGTACTTGCCAGTTCCGAATTCTGATTATTTCACCTGAAAGTGTTCCTGTGGCCTTGTATTTATGAATTTTCCTTTTTTCTTGCATTTTGTGTGTGGGTCTGGATGTTCTTTAGTAAGATGAATTGCTCCCTCAGAAGTATTAGCATAACACATCACGGCCAGCAGCTAGGCAGATGGTTCTCTCTAGTTTTATTTCTTCTCTTATTTTCTTTTTATTTTCTTTCGTAAATGTAAATTGTGTGCACTTTGTTTTAGAGGAAAGTTACTCTTCTTCAAGAATACAAAATAAAAGATAAAGCCAACAAATTTTTAGACAAGCGAATTGGAGAGCGAAATTCAGCAATGACGAATGATGACCGCATCATGGCAAGATTTACTGCAGAACGCTTAAAGGAGCACAAGACGAAGGTATGTCATAATCCTGTCCTCTGCATATCAATTGGTTCATTCTGTTAACTTTGCTATTCTTCTAAATATTGATTTTTTGCAGATTTTGAGTGAATATTATTCAGAGGTTCGGTACTACTTTTGCGCCTGAACCTCCCAGCTGCCATTTTATTTTGAGTTCGGTACTTCCAATTTTGGTGACTCATGAATCGTAATGTTGGTGCATAATTTTGGTACTGTCTTGCAAGGTCGTCCTAGAAAGGGAAAACCTACGGGTCTGATTGGTCGAACCTGTTGGCAACTGTCCATCAATGTTGAAGTTCGATGAGACAAAACTGGGCAGAACATCCTTTAGAGGTTCGGAACTTTAATTAAAATTAGCTTCAACAGGGTGTCTGCAGGTCTAAAAAACTGGAAATTGTCAGGAAATTTCATGATCGAACTGGAACTATTAATATTTTTTACTTCTTCATAATGGGATTTTTTCTATGAATTCTCAAGTTTTTGTTCAGCAATAAAGTTATGTATGGATGATGAAAGCTTACTTTTATGATTGGTCCTGATTCTTTCTCTATCATTTCACCAAATCATCACTCATTGGAATTCAATTAGCTCGAACCAAATGAATTTTTTGTTTTGGTTTTTATGTAAATTGTGTATCTTCACCCATGGCTATTTCAATGTTTTAGTGTATCAAATTTTCCTACCATCGCATTAAATAAATTAGGGGCTAATTTTTCCAAATGACATTATTTATACTCAACTATGATCATTTGTTTATTTTTAGAAATCAATATTCAATCTTGACGATGATGCAGAAATAAACGTTTTAACTCACAGAGGAAGAACTTTAGAAGACGTTGAGAAGTTTGATGATCCTCGCAGTGATGATGAGGATGAAGAAAATGTAGGAACTGCTGGTGGCCGCCTTGATGGTAAAATTTTTTATACCTCGTTTTCTGTTTTTACAGCTTTTTCTGTCTCATTTAAAACATATAGCGAGCATCATAATAAACTGGCAAATTTCAAGAATTTTGTGAAGGCCCAGTAAATCAGGAATATACCACAAAATTCTACTTAATCATAGAGAATAAAATAAGATTTCTTTAGTAGGTTGACTTCGTCATTACTGCAGTCAATGATTTTCTTTTTAATTGAACAACTTGTAAGTCTTCAAGTTGAAAATTTGAGAAGCTGCAGGAAATTATTGGGGAAGAAGTGATAAATACTAAATATAACAAAATATTAATCTTTTTGTACGATCTAGTGTAAACCTTTGAAGAGTATTAATTTGAATACTTTTTTTTCGAAGTGAATAGATTTTAGGCAAGAAACCTTAATAACATTGGTGATCGGTACATTTTATTTGAGTGACTGTCAGTGTCTACCGTTAGCCTAAGTGTCTTATTACACAAAGTGCAAAAAATTTTTTCGTTTGGATTTGTAGTTAAATTTTATTTACATAAGGTTTTTGCTTAGCAAGAAAAAAAACCGTTGATTTTAAATAAAATGTAAATCTCATAATCCCAAAAATTCTGAAGAGACCCCACTATCGATAAAATGAAAAGAAAAAATTAGTCCTTCCAAACAAATAATTCAGGAGAGTCCAGTGATGCACATTTATTGTAACTTGTTTTTAGAATAGATTGAGCTATCAAAAAATTTGGGCCGAAAATGCGTTTTTGCCGAATTGATCTACCATTCACTGTCCTATCCGTTTACGGTCGCCTTTTGAACAATAAATCACACTTAAAAACGCAAAAAAACATTTCCTCACTAAATTTATTGGTATAGCATGTTCCTTGCAAGATTTACCTTGAGAATTGACAGAGTCAGCGGCGTGTTGCCCATGAAAATCACCTATCTTAAAAAAACGATGAGCATGCCAAACGCCGCTCATGCTAAGGCTCTCCAAAAGAAAACAAAATGTGATACGACGTTGAAAGTTATCTAGTGACTCCTCAGAGCTCCTAGTAACACCTTTCAGTGGTGGAGCCCGGAATTTTATGACCGTTGCTTGGGTTTGCAGCGAAATTGCGGTTTTTTTTTTGGTCTCCCCTCGTATTTATTATTCAAGGTGAAATTCAACCGTATCATACGTATTTCTGTGAATTTTCACAGAAAGTTGAAAGGCGTTGAGTAGTTTAGTTCTCTATTAAAAAATGAAATGGTCGTCTCGTGGCTTAATTTACTTGAATGATATTTGCTCTTTTTTCAGCTGACTTTGTAGAAGAAGCTCACTTTGGAGGAGGTCTCTTGAGCAAATCCAACAAACCAAATAATCATCAAGATTTAATCGAAAAACTTATTCTGGAATCGAAGAAGAGGAAGGCTGAAAAAATGATGAATAAGGAGAAAACACTGGAGTTGACACAAAAATTAGATGCCACATGGAAAGAACTCATTCCTTTGGTTTCTGCCTCATCAAAAAAACCCGTAGAGGAAGCAACGAAGGACGTCGAAGGGAAAGATAAAAATTCTTACGATATTGCCTTACGTCAACTTAAATTTGAAGCCCGTGGGCTGGTAAGTCAGTCCGTACTTATAATAAAATTGCAAAGATCAGAGCATATCCTAAATTTTGATAGCAAAGAAGCCACTCGCTACTGAAGTGTGGCAGCCAAGAACTTTCTGCATCCCTGCTGGATCTGCTACCGCTCCGCTTCCATTTCTATGTGAATAATAAAAAAAGCTAACAATGGTTCAAAAATCTCTATTTTCCTTGGTTCTCATCCCATTTTCACAAAGTGGCGGCATGAGCAATGAGGTTTTAAGACCTGACTTTCCTAAATCCATACTGAGCCAAATTTCTAAAATCAATGTTTTTAATACATTTTTTTGAACCTTTCAGCCTTCTGACAAGCTAAAATCTGAAGAGGAAATCATTCGTGAAGAGAAGGAGAGATTAGAAAGTTTGGAGGCAGAGCGTCTACGGAGGATGAAAGGCATTGAAGAAGACAAGAAAGTTGAGAAACCTAAACATCAAAGTGCTGATGACTTGGATGATTGGTGAGTATATTGTTTTCCTCTGGTTTAGTCTTACGATTATTTACTGTGCTGTTTATTAACAACCAAACGTTAATTAAGGCTCAAATGACCATGAAGTGCCTAAATTTGCCTTAAATAGCCTTACTGCTTGAAGTTAGGGGTAGTTAGGTTAACCTTCATCTCATTCTACCTTTACCTTTAAAACACAGCAAAAAAAAGAAAACATTAAATGAAAATCTTCTTAGATGTTAGCTGATCTTTAATACTGTATTAATTTATTTCAGATCATTTTGATTGCTAAGCAGTTCATATGATGAGGCAGCGTGCCTGCCATGTGTAAGAGGAGCACTGGTAAAAATCATCTAGTAGTCAATATTTTCAGTTGATAGTCAAGAAGCCTAAAGATTTTCCCCATCATGATATACTTAACTTGAGGGCAACCAGGAGGTGGCATTTGATCTCACATCTTTTTTTCTCTTCAAAGATCTACTAATTTCTATAAGCAAAGAAATGAAAGAGTAGACAAGACCTTACATTTATTGGTAATTTATCGCCAGTGGCTTTTGAAATGCTTTTACTTGCTCAACTACTGTGTTAGTCCACAAAATCAAAATGAATTGAAATAAGCATCCACTGGGGCACTTAATAAACTCGAGCTTTCTATATTATGCTGTAATTTTATTTTTCCAGTTTCTATGGTTCTGACAATGAGGATGATGAAACCCTTACTTATAATAATGAGGGAAGACCCATAAGTGGAATCTTGAAGAAGCTTAATGCAGGTAATTTTTTCTAATCACTCTTTATCCTTTGAATGATGCCCTCTAGATAAGGAAGTGCTCAGTTAATCTCTTTTTCAGCAATGGTCTGAGTGTTCAATATGTTCAGAAGAAGTACACGGACGGTGAAATTCCCGAACCACATATCTCGTTTGGGGTGTTCTAAAATCTCCGTTCCCATTTTACTTTTTTAAAGAAGAACAAATCAACATCATACCTTAAAGCTTGAAAATAATTTTTTTCGCACAGAGAAGAAAAATTATGGTAGTTTGAAAAATTTGATGGTAAGTTGTTTTCCGTTTGAAAAATAAAGTACAACAGGAAGTCAACAACGTAGCAAACCAAGGCATGTGGTTTTGGAGCTTCACCATCGATACATATTGCTCACGTTTTAAATTTTAATTCATTCTCTCAATCTCCCTCTATTTTGCTTTGAAATTCTAACTCTGTATTATTTTTAAAACATATTAGGTTGAGAAAAAACTAAAATGCCATGGTGCTTTTTTTTCTAGATAAGTCCCTTATAGCAATATAAACTCATGAAATGGGAAAGTGTATAACTTACTTTTTATTAATTTTTTGTAATTTAGAATTTCAATAAAGAAGAAACCGGGATATTTAGATTGTAAGCTATACATGTTAACAGTAGACTGATAACACATAATGCAGAGTTTTAATCCGCTTCGTTGCTCAAGGTATGAATGCAAAAAAACTTCAAGAATCAGATTTTTTTTAAAGCAGACCTTGGTCGTGCTTTAAATTCTTCAAGTCATTTGAATGAGAGATCCAAGACGTAATCCAATTAAAATTGTCTCTGAAAAGAGATGGTTTCCACCATGCATTTTTGACAGTTCATAATAATTATTCAATTCCAGATCATAACCAATACAAATCCCTCATAGTGATGTGAGCTCAGATATTTTCCATCTTTTTTAATTAAACATTACCGATCTAATTTTGTCAAATGTTAATTTTCAAACAACAGAAGCCGACGAGAAGAGTGCGAGAACAGGATCTAGTTCCAGTGAGGAGAGTGGAGAAGAAGATAGTGACTCCTCAGATTCCGAGAAAGGAGAAGAAGGAGACGAAGACGGCAATGAATATGAAGGAGAAGGAGGTGGAGGAGAAGAAAGCGACAGCAGCGAAGATGATCTCTCTGACTTGAAAAGCGATTCAAGCGACGATGATGATTCTGATAATGAAGGAACAGAAGATGATAAATCTGAAAATTTGGTAGGAAATAAAAGAAAGCTTACCTCTGATGAAATAGTGCCGAATAAAAAAACCTCTGCCAAGAAACTTAAGTCCAATCAGTCCGCTGGAGATGATTCTTCCAAACCTGTCGATGATGGCAAAGCAGACTCTGCCAAGAAAGTAAGATTTGGTGGAGTGCATGAAGAAAAGGAGAAAAGTCCTTCAGCAGCTCTGAAAGTGGACCCTGCTGTTTTTGCTGAAATTCTCAAAAGGAAAAAATTGTTGATGGAATCCGCCAGGAAGGAATTGCCATATACTTTTAAAGGTAATGAAACACTTGATTGCGACTTGTTCAATACTATCACCGTTTTTCCTCTACTTATTTCAACATTAACAGGTTCATAAGTTTTTTTCAATTTATCTGAAGGTAGGTTTACCATTGCCTTTTTGAAAAATTATACTGTTTAGGGCTCCTTCTTTCTTTTTTTGTGAATCAACCAGAATTATTGCAACTAAATCAGATGTTACCTAATTTCATTTTATATTTTATTATTTTAAAAGAAAACCAAACAATATTCTATCTTAAAATTTTGTGAGTGCAGTCAAATCTCTATAATCCGAAGCAATTTTCTCACCACTGAAACATGTATATTCTATGTACTTTAGGGGAGACTCCCAGTAAGTTACAAGACATTGTGTCGCTTAGTTCTCAGGTAAAAAAGTAACAAATTGGAGGGATAGGGCAATGCGAATTTCAGTTAGGTTGATTTTGCTGAAATCTGTCCAGCTATCTAATGACAATGATTTGCGCTGGTTCAACACTTTCAAGGTCACATTATCAATCGTGTTAGTTTCTTTATTTTGCTTGAAGTACATTTGTTTTATTTTCCCTTGCAGCACCTGAAAGCTATGAAGAATTAGAAAATGTGCTTGCTAATAGAACAGCTGAGCAGAAAGCAGTCATATTAGAAAGAATGATCAAGTGTAATCATCCAAGTCTCCTTGAAAGCAACAAAGAGAAATTGAAAAACTTGTTTGCGCTCTTACTGCAGCATTTGCACGACTTAGCTTCTTCGACCAATCCATTGGTAAGGACACATCTTATTCACCTAGGATTACACAATTATTTTTCATTTTCTTTTTTCCCCCTTTTTTTTACTGCAACAGAGACTATTGTTTCTTCTTTATCACATGAGACCACAACACGCCATCCCAAACAAGTTTTCACTTGAAGTCATTAGTTCATTTTGCGTGAAGGTAGTAATTTCAACTTCAAAAGTTAATGTTTACTAACTTAATCTTCAAATTTTATCTAAAATCACTCTCCAGTTATCTCTCATTGTTATGGCTTGTCTTAATTTTTTCAAGATAGCGGGCGATTCGCACCTAGTTTATTTCATACTTAATTGAATCATCTAACTTAGTGTAAATAGGGCATAGGGCTTCTAATTTTTTAATGTCTGCTTCTACTAATTCAATGTATCAACTACAAAGATAAATTTATTTAACAGTGGTATTCTTTTTAATTCTAGGAATGCTGGTCAACATTAGATTGTATGGCTCCCTATCTATACGATCTGTGTCAGTTTTGTCCAGAAAGTGCTGGTAACTGTCTCAGAGAAGTCATCAAAGAAAAGCAAAACCCATACCGGAAATTGCATCGATCTTATCCAAGTACTGATTCGGTATGTTTTAACATTTATCTGGTTTTTCATAAAGTTTTACCAAATTGATGTACACATTCCAACAAGGGTGCAGAAAGTTCCAAGCCTATCCATTCATTCGGCCTTCCCCGAAGTTCAATCAATCCTATCCCTTTATTTTTAACCATAATGCATGATTGCTTCCTCTTGAAGACAAAAGAAAAGAAAAAATACTTTAACCTAATATATTGGACTTTTTTACCGCTTAAATTCTATACTTTCTCATGGGTTCCCCCGTTTTTCCCGCTCTTGCTAGGGCTCCATCATTCTGTGCGACCGGCAAGTTTGCTGGTCAGGAAGTTTCTGCACCTGCATCACAATAATGCTTGAACTTAGTGTGATTGAAGTGACGAGTGAAAGTGTTCAACTAAGAATTTCAATTGTGATAATGCACAGTTTGGTATGTTCGATGCTTAATATGTCCACTAAAAGTAAATGCCAACATTATTGGAGGTTTATTAAAAGAATAAACTTTTCGTCAAAACGTGGATATTTCCATCTGTCACTATTACAATTACTGACAGTCAGATAAAGTTAAAATATCAAAAAATTCGCCCCATCACCATTAAAAAATAGATCATAGAGACTTGTAGTTTGTACCAATAATTACCTCTTTTCAAACCCTTTCCTACAATGTATGTATTTAGTACAGAAAGGGGAGGGATATAGCAAGTTTATATTGCCTCCCCTCTAACGTCCTCCCAAAAGAAGGAAAAAAAAACATTTTTTGAAGAAAAATTTTTTGAGCTCCCTTTCCTCATTAATTCAGTCCTTTTATAGAGAATGATTTAAACTGAAACATTTTGTCACTCTCGCTTAAATACCACGAACAGAGTATTTATTTTTGGCCCTTCCCTTTTAAGTTTTATCAGAAGAATCTTATCAAACAATGTGAAACTCAACTATTTACTATTTCAAAATGTATTACATGCATTTGAAAAATATTTTGGCTGCTTTGACTGTCACCATCCGCAATTTGGCTAAATTGCCCTAAGTTTTGAAATTTTAGAATATTTTTCTTTGGTTGCGAGCTTCTTGAAAGTTTCAGTATTTCAAAATTTCTGTCCTATTTTAATCATTTTCAAAATAATTGAAATTCCATCCCAGGTTATTTTTTATTTTTAATTCCTCTGCTATCTTTTCCTATTTTGCAGCTGCTTTTTTTCAAACTAATCTCATTGTTGTACCCAACAAGTGACCTTCGACATCCTGTTGTCACACCTTGTATTATTTTAATGCTTCATATCCTACATCAGTGCCGATTGGAGTCGAGAAAAGATATTGCATCATCACTTTTCATCATTGCTCTGATTCTAGAGGTAAGTTTTATGAATGACTATTCACAATCTACATCCCTTGGTACATCATTGGAATTAAAAAATCAGCACTTACATTTTCTCTGCATGCAAAAGGATTTTAATTAGATTTTCAAAGAAAAAAATGTCTTGGGCAAAACTGCACTGTAAATTAGAAAGCGTGAAAATCAATACCTAAATAACAAAATACTCAATTAAGTTTATGTTGGTGAATTATGTAATACATATTATTGTAACATCGAAAGAGGATTAGTTCAAAGCAGGAAATTTAGGAGCTATGGCTAAAAGTCGCGCAAATTTTTAAAACGAAATTCCTTTACCTTCTTGTTTTATTCAAGACATGTTTTGGTAGACAAGTGTGCACTGAAACATATGTTCAATGAAACACCAAGGTAAAGGAATACGAGTTAAAAATTTACCCTTTCAGTCCTGAAAGTATTATCTTACCCATCTAAATGTCTTATCTCCATGAATCTACACACCAGGCAAACTGCGTTGGGGAAAAAAGGAAACTCAAAATTTTCAAACATAGATACTTAGTTAAGAATGTTGCCATTCAGATTTTGTACGCAGTGGAATAATAAGAGTTCCTACAAGTATGGGTTTGTCTCTCCAGTTCTCCTGAACTATGACTAAAATTATCATTTGTATCATTATTTTTCCATCACCCAATCTGGTGGTTGTGAGTTGTGATTTGTGTTGTTTGGCTAAAATCGTCATCCCTCATTTTCAGTACACTGAACTATCCAAAAGGTACGCTCCAGAGGTTGTAAATGTGATCCAAGCTCTTCTCTCCATGGCCTCACCTGATGAAAATCATAAAGTGTGTCTTCCTGGTCTTCCAAGACATAAAGTTTTAGTTCTTTCTGAATCATTTGATAAAAATCAGTAAGTTCATCTTTACCGTCTTTTTTAGTGTTTCTGGTCTCAGATGGAATTTCCTAACTTGAATTTTGTCCGCACATGAGGGGGAGGTGTGTTTCAAGGCCGTACAAAACAAAAGTTGCTAATCAAATCCAGCTTAACAGGTTTTAGGTTTATTTATGGATTTCAATTACATTACAGAGGATCACAGGGTTGCGACAATTGAGGATAACGGGGAAACTGGAAAATGTAAGATAATCTCCAAAATAAGTGAAAACTAGGAAAAATCAAGGGGAAGAATGAAAGAATAAGGGGAAAGTTGCTATTTTCATTTATTGTTGACTCATACTGTTGGCTAAATGCCAAAAAGAGTGTAGCTCAATTTTAAAGTGTAAAAAACTCAGATTAAGCTCTTATTTCTTACTTTACAGTGGTTAAATTTTTTCCTAGAGATTTTGTGTTATTTGATTTTGAATGAGTAAAAAAAATTCACAGAAAATTTCAACAGAAACTGTTGATTAGTTTTCTCTCGAAACAACTCGATACTTACATTGCTCCAAACTGTAATAGGTATTTTTTTACTTCAGCCATCGATATGCAGAATATGCTGAACTTGTGACTTTCTTTGGTGTAGATTTTCCACGAACCTGGGCCATCAAACAGCCTTTGTGTGTCACATCCTTCAGCTCGTCGGTCACTTTAGTTTGACTATAAATGTTAAAGCAGAAGGCTGCATATGATTTTTAATTATCTGTTATTATTTTCACTGTTAACTTTGCTGATAATTGTTTGATTTTTTTATGCTCAGGCTCTCTGCCAATAAACTAGAAATAACAATGAAAGCAGTTGATCTCAGCGAGGATAGTGACAATTTTGACGATAATTTCAAACTAAGAGTCCTTGCGACCATTTTCAAGTTCATTACGCAATTTGCGTATAGGTACAATAGTCTTCCAGCCAGTCCGATGATATTTGCTCCAATCAAGAATAGCATTAACAAGTTGCAGGTAGGTTTAAAATTTTTAAGATGAACTTCAGAGCTCGCTGGTGTTTTTTTTTTTCATTGATCAGCTATATCAAATAATATAATGAATTCTTTGTCTGACAATTAGCCCAGTTTGTTCTCTTCTTGATCACGTATGCGAGTCATCCCAAAAGTAAGTTTCCACAATTCATATCTCAGAAACTCAAAAGACAAGTCAAATTTAAAAGTGCCTGGTTGATTTTACTAAGAACTCTCCATTAAGCCCAAGTTTTTGAACTTTGAACCCAAGGTATGAAAGAAAATCCATTTCTACCTCAGAAACTCCTGACAAGTCCTGTCCATGGAGGTGAACGAGAGAATTGTGGCATACTCTTTTTCCATAATTCGAGCTCTCCATTGAAATTTTGTAACTCTAAAAAGTTCAATTTCAGTATTCGACAGTTAAAGTTATTAAATTCTGTAAACTGTACACTGTCGGTCCTCTCTAACAGGTTTTTTTATTGTAAAAATCGTTTCTTATGGCTAGACAAGTATACCCATATGAACGTTCACTATGCATACTTTTGTAGCTTCTCACAAAGAGATTTCGCCACTAACACAAAATTTGATAGTTAAAATGTAAACAATTGCGCTATCTTCACTTTTTGCCAGTATAAAATGATTAGCAGTGCAGCTTGTACTATCCAGCACTTTGGCAACAAGGACTGCAATATGACTAATAGATCATGATGGAACCGTTTAGATTTTTGCTTCTACTACGCATTTTTCCTTAATGAATTCTGGAAAAAGGTTTCCTGTGTCGATGATTTCTGGCCAAAGGACAGCAGAGGCCATAACTACACAATACAGCAATGCACATTTCCAATCGTCCTTTTATTATATGGTGGGCGGAACTTGCTACTAGTTTCTCATGTAAAAAAGTATTTACTCCTGAACTACCAGTTCAAATTTAAAGAACTGAGGCCTCATGGAGAGTCAGGGAGAGAAACCGATAATTTCTTACAAACTTCTTTCATCATTTTTAGTTACTGAGATATAAATTCTGGATGACTTTAGTAACTTTGGAGCTTACGAATTTGGCTAGAGTTAATACTACCAGAGTTAAGAGTACTCGCTGACCCATTAGATGCTAAAATTCTCCATTTTGAAAAACTGTATTAAAAACTGAATGTACAAATTTAAGCTGAATCTGCCTTACTACATCAGACATTCCATCCCGTATCTGATTACTTTAACAGAAAAATATGCAACATTTTGATTTATAATTATGTGAAACTATTTGTTCCAATCCCGTGAAAATTCGCAAAAATTTTCGAGGTGGTCTTCAGTTTTCTGTTAAAGGTTGAAGGGGGAAAAAAACACGAGGAGAAATAAGGCAATGTGAAATGTAGTTGGGTTGATTTTGGGTAATGCCATCCAATTGCTGTACGAAAAATATTTGATTAACTTAAATTCGATCTATGAAAGCCCACTACAGGAGACTTTTCTTTTCCAGGTGGAAAAATATCCTGATTTTCTTTCTTCCCTAGTGGAAGAGTGCAACTCGGCTCTAGAAACAGCCATCGACAAAAAATTGGAGGTGTTGACGAAAGAAAAGGAAAAGCCAAAAATTCTGAAACTATATGAGCCGAAAATAGTGCCAGTGTAAGTTGAAATTTTTGTTCACGCTTTAAGTAGTTTTGTGTTCTTATTTGAGAACATAAATAATATATTGGCGCTAAATTTTTGACTGATATTTTCAACCTTTTTTTAAAAAAAAATAGTGTGCACTGTTGTATCGTCAATGAACACCTTTATTTTGAAGGACCCAAGCGACAAAAACTTTTGAGCTTTCACTTATCCTTCTCTGACACAACTTTCATGGACATTGAAATTTTGGTTTATTGGCTTTTTTTTCAATGAACAGTTGAGTTTGATTAAATTAGTTGATTCGAAAAAGGGAAAAGTCCAGGTTTTAATGAATGCTTGCATTGCAAGAATTTGGAAAAAAAATTGTTTTTCTGGCTTAAACTATGTTCCCATTTTTTATTCAACCTTGGAATGTTCTTGCAATTACTGCAAACCTCAAGTTTTCATCAAAGATGCATAACTAGCCCCAAAAAAATATTTTTGACCCAGAAAAGGGGCTTTTGGAGAGAAAAATAATTCCTCCTTTATTTGCCAAAGCTTTCTTTTTTTCCATGGCATCTTTATCAAAAAGAACAATTGTGTCTGTGATTACTCAGAGTTCCATGTATTAATTTCGTGTTTTCGGCAAAATATACGTTACAAACTAAGTATCTGTTTTTAATCTTTTTTACTAGGTATGATATGAAATTCTTGAAGGAAAAAGAAGGTGACCCTAAAGCAGAACATGTCAAATTACTCCGAACGTATCGTAAAGAAATGAAAGGTGCTATGCGTGAGATTAGAAGAGACAAAGACTTCATATCTAGAATTAAATTCAAGGAACAGGCCAAGAGGTAAGTTAAATTTTTCTTAAGAAAAGAATCACTAGCTCATGGCCAGATTATGCTGGATCATAGATTTTTCTTCGCAAGATTTTTTACATCCCCTATTGAATTCTTCAAGTTTGAGTAATTTTATGAAGTTATGAAGATAAGTTTGTCCTGATTCCAAATGAACCTCGTGCGACTTGATTTTGTAAGTAAGGAGAACGACATCATAACAACAGTATTTATGAAGGAAAGCATGTGCGCCAGAATATCTGTAATTTTCATTGAAGTATTGAAAATGAATGTGAGAATTAAGATGGCGGATCTTTTGTCTGACCTTTCAAGTGCATCAATTTATTCGGTGTGGACTTTAGCTGGTTGTGGTAGTAAGGATTCATCTATTCCCAGTAATTTCTGTCTATTTATTTTTAAAGTTTTCATGCAGCTTGTGCTCGTGTAAACCTCTCTTTACTAATCTCTCCTTCTTGTTTTTCTAATTTTTTTCCTTTTCCCTCATTTCCAGTGATGCAGAACGGCGGCAGAAAGTCAAGGAGATTTACTCCTGGGGTGCTGCGCAGCAAGGAGAGCTCAATCAGATGGCTCGCAAGAAAAAGAAGAAGTGATCCTCACAATTGTACAAACGTTTGCTGGTCACCTGGAAAACGGGATATCAGGGAATTCTCGAAAACTAAGATCAACTTATTTTTGTATTGTAGCTGTATTAGCAAGCAAATGTGGCTTGTAGTGCTGTGCCGTTCTTTCACTCCCATACACGTGAGGGGAAAGTCGATAAATTGGTTACCTTTTTTTTTACTTACCCCTCAGAAAAAATGAGGAAAATTTAAATCTATTCTTAATCCCATCTGAATAATTGAACAAGGCCTTTGAATTGATTTCTGAAGCCATGCTTAGCAATTTTCTGCTTATTTTGGAATCATCAACTAAAATTTTTCAAGCATGAGGGAATTATTTTACTTTCATCTGCTGGTACAGTTAACTTCCTCTGAATCAAACGCTCTTTACATGGAATTTTCCTTTAAGTCAAACTTTCTTACGGCCCCATCGAATTTTTTATAAGAAGTAAGAACAAAAAGCCCTCTAAGTGGAACTAACAATCTGGTCCCTATGCAGTTTAACTTAGAGGAAGGTAATTGTAAAATGCCAGCAAGTATAGGCATGAAACCTACTCACTGTCACCTCCTATTGGTTTATCTGACTTGTATGCACAAAGCCTGTTTTGAAAAGCTTGTGTACAGAAGCTCTGTCAGTGTATTAGAGTCACGCTAAGTCAGTCTACGCCCGTTTGGACAGTAGAAGAGGATCGTCTGATGTCATTTTAGCATCGAAAGAAAGTGCAAGTATGAAGATGACAGATCTCCTTTGCAGTCTCCAAGTTGATAGACCTATTTTGCATGGACTCTAAATTCAGACTGCTTTGAGGACTGTTTCCCTACGCTGTTCTGCTGTAGCTTCTACATTCCCACCTATTCTTTTCGACAATGGCTGAAAACCATGCTCAGGAGTTGTTTTGTTTTTGTAAAGGTTAACCGTAAAGTTAACCTTCCATCAAGTGCTCATGTCTTAACAGCGTGATTGTTACGTTATTTTAATGTATGTAATTTTCTATTTGAATAGAATATTTATTCTACTTCAAAAGGAATTTCCTAATTGAATTAGATGAAGTTTTCGATTCTACTTTCTTCCCTTTTATTCCTTCAAGTGAGCTCCCTTAAAACTTTAGAAACTGAATTTAATCATCCAAGCTTTAGTTCGACTACTAGGCGACTATGACCTTCTCAGAGGATTCTATTGGTTTCAATGAGGTGAGGTATTAGCTTGATGTGAGCACCGGAAAAATTAATCCCAGCTGTTGGGTCTTGTCCAAATGAAGGAGGAACTTGTTCCTGGACCTCATTATAACTCAACTACATCTGAGAACGTGTAATCCCAGTTCATTTATCCAATTCGCCCCAAATTCTGCCAATTGCGCTCATATGGACAGGGCCTGAGAACCGATATCCACCTGGTGTGTCTGTCCACGTAAGGGAATGTGTACTTTGCCCCTTATATCCTCCATATTTGGACCAAGTTTATCAGAAAGGAACCAACCCAAATCAAGTTGAATCCGAGGAAAAGAGGTTTGAAGTTTTATTCCTTTGTGAGACTGAGTGTAGAAAGTAAACTTTAACGCCTCTTTTCAAATAATTTTTTTTTGTTTTTTTGACTTTAAGTTCTTGGCAGAAAAAATATATAACTAGAGGAACTCCAAAACATCCTTGACTCAATTTTTTCGAAAATGTAGGTTGGTTCCTTTCTGATGAACTCTGTCCATTTTTTACTTGTTATTTGAATGAGACACTCGCCCAAGTTATGAGATAAATGCAGTTGAGGGTTTCCAGTACTTGTTTTAAGAGTTTCTAACTTCTGAAAACTTATTTACCATCCGTTGAACAGGATTTTAAGTTCATCTGGTGGGGAATTACAACTAATGCAAAAAAAGAAAATTGATACTACAGAGTGGTTATCATATCACAGCGCAATGCGCTGTTACTTTTCTCCATTTTGCAATGGATGCACTTGACTTTCTGAGACTGGATCACCTTACAGATCGTATCGTGATTAAAATTCAACTGAAAATTACTTTATTGTAGTTCAAATTTCTTTAATTAAAAAAAACCCTTAAACTCCTCACATTTCTCCATACAGAGCACATAGCAACATTTTTTTAGGCTAAATGGACTGCACTTATTAAAAAGAGCCCAACACTCTAGAAAACTCAATATTAGCAGTATCTTGCTGCGTAGGGTGGTCAAATGGTCATAACTAATTGCTATCAGGAGAGGGAATGCAAGAATAGTCAGATTTAAAGATGAGTTTGATTTATTTTCTCATCTCTTTTGAAATTATTTAAAAGCTAAAGTATTCACAATAAAATTACATGACTTGATATTATTTACAGTTTCCTACTTACAACATCCAGATCACTTCAGCAAATAAAAAATTATTTTGACTTTGATCCAATTCTTTTTTGTACTTTAATGCAACTGTAAACTTTTAATCTGGAGAAAAAATATTGAGGATTGTGTCAAGAAAAGTGTTAACATAAATTAGATTAACTTACAGGCATGTTTGCTTTTTACATAATAGCTGAGTGAATTACTTGGATTTAGCAGAAGAGGTTAACACTTTTGCAAACTCTTTACAGACACTAAAGTTGAATAGACTTGCAAATTGCAAGATGACATTGAATAAATAGATATTCTGAGACAGTTCTTTCACTAAGAGGCTTACCGATAAAAAAATGTTAATGATTCTCACTTTAAAGGGGAGAAATCGTCTAATTCTTCAGGAAGTACGCAATGTTGAACTTAAAAATTTCATTTTGCCCTTGGTTTCAAATGATGACCATATTTTCAATATAGTATGCTTGGTGCATAATTTACACAAGGACAGAGAGACTACAATCGGAAGATTGAATAATAGGAAACATAGAAAGTGCTCTTATAAGGTCGTCTTCACAGAAACTGGCTTGTAAAATAACTGCCCTCGTCTTCAAATTATCTAGGCTTTAGAATCGCCTTCATAGTTACGATATCCCAGATTTTAAACTTTCACACCTAAGGACAGAAATTATTGAAGGATATAATAGTTATACCTTCTTTTATTAGGAAACATTTTATGTGCTCTTATAAATTTATGATTACAGATATTCAAATCAAAAATTCAAATACAACAAAAGAAAAAAAGAAAAGAAAAAAACAGATAACTAAAAAAATAAAACTCTTTGAGAAATAACACGTAAGGAAAGTGGGCAGACAAATTTTTACAAGTTTTACGTCAAAGCATATGATTCGGCCCACACAGGTGTGAAAACACAGGAAATTAAGGGGGGGGGGGAGAAAATAAATAATATTACAAGATGAATAGGTGTGAATATTCGAAGAGAACCCTGACAGGTGTACAACTGGTTATTTGATTCTGGAGTCATTATAATCGCAGGATTATAGTGCATAGGTACATTGATTGCTGCTCCTTCACCAAAATGAATGACAATACAAATTTAAATACAGACACGGTAGATGTACTTTAACATTTTCTATAGGAAAGAGCAACTGAGACTTTCTCACAGCTTTGAATGGAGGGCGAAAGCAAAAAAAACTTATTTGCTCGCCGATATAACTTACATCTCTTTCATTTAAGGTTTCTATATTAAAGCCAACCACATACAAACAGCAAATTTGAGTGGTGATCAAGATATAGTACCCTGATGAGACTGAAAGTTTCGATAAGAAACTTTGGTTCAAATGAACATGGAGAGAGATGAGAGTTCATGATAGAGTAAAATTGGAGTGTACTACAATATGTATGTAGGCACAGCAGAATATGCTGATAACTGTTCTTACATTAGATTTTTTTTATACAATCCATAACCTTTACAGTTGACTAGAGAAATAACAAGACAATCAACAAAAGAAGTTAAAACATATCGTCAGTTGCTTAAGGAGAGATAAGCAAGAAAGCTATCAAAATCAGAGATCAGTGAAGCTACATAAGATTTTACCTCACTATCAAGTTGCCTTCTTTATTGCTTCATAATCATCATGATGTAACGCTTCGACTGCCAAGGCATGGATAATCTCAGTCTGGCATTGATGCATGCTCATTCATTACTAGGCTTCTGAGTCATAGATTCAATACGAATTTTTTACTTCTACACTTTTAAGATCCGGAGGATTACAATATGATGTCAGTAAAATGAGACCAAATTGATGCCGCACTTGAGATGCCGAAGAGACAGTCAATGCATTAACATATGAATATGGAGCAAATCCTAATACCACTTACTTCAGAGAGAAGCTCGAACGCACGACATTATCAAGCTGTAATGACATAATGCTTAGCTAACCCATGATTTTTACAGAGTTAGTAGAAAATTAAAACCCTATCATTTCAGGGGTGATATTGACAATTCTGGAAATATCTTGTAAATACTATATTTGCAGATTCACAGGGATTGTTAGATAGCGATTTGCTATTTCAAAATACTCATTTCATAGAGATTATTCATTTGAAATGAAGTTAAATTGGTTGGCCTAAGTGTTTACCTCTAATCAGGAATGAGGTAATGACTACAAATATAGTAGTACTAGAAAAGAGGCATATAGGTTAAAGTGCAGTTTATAAAGTGGTTACTTTAACCAATATTAGAAAATGAACATGAAGTAAAAGTACCGAATAGCCGTGTGATGGTAAAGCTCGAATAATAGTAACATTTAAAAATATGAATTAGAGATAAAATATAATAAATATTAAAGTTAGCGATATTGCTCATATTTATGAAATTTAACTATACTTATGTTGATGCGGCACACTTTCATCAAATTTTACTTACAAGGCTATTGAAGTGGACATATTGACTAATCTTGTAGTTTTGGGTAGGTCAATGGAGTATATAGAATGGCCCTGTATGGATTGAGATGGTGAACCGTACAGTCACAAAAATGGGTGTGACAACTTAGATAAAATCCAAGACCAATAAATCAGGAAATATCTTTACTTCATGTTCATTTGCAAAATAATAATAAAAAAAAATTTCTTTCAGATTTTAACGATTAACGAAGGGGAAGATTTAAGATAAATACACTCGAGCAGTGGCTAGGAAGGGTGTCCGACACACAGCACATGTCGTTAGAGATGGGGTGCATTTCACACATGCCACGATGTGACCACAAGGAAGGAATGCCACACCCATTTCTTCAGTGTAACAAATTTTGCATAATCTATCTTCACTAGTTTTTGTTTCTGAAGTTGACGCTTCTGATTTCAATGGCTCTGTACTTGATTTGGAGACAGTTGATTTACTACTGTAACAAAAAAAAAAAAACCAAAAATAGTACACAAGATCTTCAAATGAGGTAAAAACACCAGGGAATTCTCTACCGAAGCATGAAATTTCAGGAAACGTTCAAGTCCTCATAAAAATATGATCATTCATTCAGCCGAAAAGGTATCAATACAGAAATATCAAACAAACTAATTCTTTGAGAAATTCACATCAATTAGAAAGAATTGTTGACTGAGAACGATTAAATGATTAGGTAAGGAAGCGAGAGAGTAGAATTTTGAGTACAAGATGGACATGGAAACATTCTGAAATATTTTACAGGTTAAATTTTGCTCTCAGTAAAGAAAGGGAAACACTCCAAAAAAGATATTAGCTTCTACCGAAAAAGTAATTTCAAACTGGAGACACATTTATTGCCGCGCAATTGGCACAGATAACTCCACGCGCCATTTAGGGCTGAGGAAACATGCTGAGGGTATAGCACTGATAGTCTAAATAAAATCCTTAATGGTGATATGTGTATTGCCAACACTGATGCTGTCATTATTTCACAGAAGAAAATGTACTTCAAGATTGGTTGGATTAATGGATACTGTGGCTAGTTGCATGTGACCAACTAAAACTGCTGCTCAACACCCTCATTAATTAATATTAGACTTCACAAAAATAGTTGTAAAAATCAGTGCGCAAGACCCACCTTGATTCAGAGGACTGAGATGATTCCGAGACATCTCTTGAGCTTGCTGGACTGAGAATATCACTATGAGATGCTATTACATTTTTCACATCCTGAAACAGAACAAACGAAAACCGCAATTATCAAAGGGCGTTCATTCCAAACAAAAGAAACAACAGGTTCGAAGACAATAGACTGATTTAGTAACTGACTCATTCGATATTATATCAAACTATCAATCGTTCAGTGGTTCGAACCAAAACAAATCATATGACCTTTTAGGCTTGCTCATCACACAAGTTGTACCCAAATGTTTGATTGAGATTGAGTTTCCCATCCCTTCAACGAAATTATGAGCTTCTTGTTTTTAATCTCTCATTTTGTTTGTGTCCTGATTCGAAAGCATTTTCCCCTCTGATGAAAAGACTTCCTTCCTAGGAGAAAATAGAACTTTTCTTGAATCTGCATGTTAAAAGTACTTGACATATTTAAATATGTACATGTTAGAAATTTATTTCATACATTTTGCACTATAAAAGTTGGGTTATATTATCAAAGAAATGTTTTTTTTTTTCATTTTACAACTATACCAATAATAATGAAGGGGCTGACTCAATAAATGCCGAATGGTAAAACTAAAGTTGCAAGAGAAGGATTGGACCTACGTTTTGGTTGTCAAGCCGAATCTGCCTATTTAAATCCACATTCAGAAAATTAACAAGAAATATCAGAACAAAAGCCGGCATCGACAATAGATTTTCCAAAAAACTATTGGAAGAGCAACCATGTACCGTGACCATTCTTAAAAACTGATTCTCTGTATGTAGTTGCTTTAAAATAGTATAAATATTGAAGAACAAAATTAGATTTTTACCTCTGAGGAGATGACAGGTTGCTGCTTCTCTTTCCCGCAGACTTCATCTATGAATTCTTTTCCTTTGATTAATCGTACATAATTACACCTGGAGGACCACCTGGCGTGTTCAACCCAGGGGTCATCACCGTCTTCCCAATCTTTTAATCCTAAACCACAGTGAAAGCACATAACTTGATCACCTCGACCTGTAAGCATATTTAAAATAAATGAAAAATTAGTTCAGATCATAAACAAAGAAGAGGAAAAGTACAAATTTTGCACAATTCATAAGACAACAAACCGATGAAAATACAGACTTAGCATTCATGCCTGTACAAATTTTTGTAAGTATTTGGGCTCAGCTGTATGGACTAAGCTCCTACAATGAGAATATATAATTTGACCATCTATTAAAAAATTAAGTATTCGAACCTATGGAGTAAAGAGAGTGCAGAATAGGGATGTGGCTGACAATAGATTAGAGATAAGCATTTACTACTTCTGTTCCTCCAATGTTAGCGCTTTTCACACATAACTATGAAAATTAGGATGCTCAAAATGATGGTTAATCATGAATAATTTGCCAATGGAGCCACCTAGTACTACAATTTTTCCTTCTGGGGCGCAATTCTCAAAATCATTATCATCAAGAGAAGAGGGAGGAAAGCATGAAGTATAGTTTATTTTTGCGAACGACTTCATGGTGAGAAGACCCAAATAAATTTGGAGAATTTCTTCGAAAACTTACCTAAATAGAACAAACCAGCTTCTGTTAACACATTCGGTTTTAATTTCAAAGAAATTGGCCAGTGACGATATGATTTCATCCTAGCTTCATACGTAGCGTAGTTGGGGAAGTCAGGCTGTTTGTTCATTTGTACACTTAATTTTTCTAAACAAGGAACATCGTTGGAAGTTGATGATGAATTCGTGCTATTTGCTTGTTGTCTGATTTCGATTCCATAGTTCCCGCACGTGTCATAACCTGGAAAAATAAAAATAAAAATTATATTTAAAACGAGGGCAAAAAAGTTGCAAATAAAAACAAAAACTAGCGTATTAGCAATTTTTCAAAATGATCTGTTTGACAGCGAATTTTTGATTCAGTGAAGCTGAACTATAAATAAACGTCTTTAAAACAAAGCTTATAGCTTATTCTTAGCAACTGAGGTAAAACAATAATATCCAGTGAAATGTTTTTCCCACTAAATTATAAATTTAATGACACAAATTATAGCAAAAAATCCAAAGCCACAGCAGACAGCATGATAGATTAATGCGTGCACTTGAGAAATTTTAGGGTGTAAAATGAAAGCAACCAGTGAATAACAGTATGAACTTCATTGATCATAGAAAAAAAGAGGAAACATGAAGAGTAAAAATAACAAACAGTATGGGAGCCACATCAGTAATTTCTTTCAATCTTTTAGATGGAAGAGGGAAGTAAAAAAGGGGGTACAATAGATTAACAATGTAAAAAATTTCAGAGAAAATTCTGATTGATTGTTTTTTCACTTTCTTCAGGGCATTGCCTATTAAAGGGCAAATATATTCTCCTGTTGAGGAGAAAAAAGTTAAAGGCTTTTCAGTTCTGTAACATTAAAGAACAACGCAAAATCACTATTGGTTGATGCTTCATGAAGTTGAATAAAAGCTTTCAACTTCTCAAAAGCATTTCAACCCCTAATATTAAAAGATGCTGGAAAGATCAATGATCTAAAAGCATTTTTGATGGATTAATATTTCATTTGACCACTGAAAGACTTCCCAGATCCAGCTCTGGAATTCAAAAAAATTGTAGTGAGATGCCACAATTATTCAATGGGATTACAATAAATGATGAAGCATGGAGGCAGCACAAAGATTCTTTGCTTGACGTAATGGGAAGCATTTGAGTTCATAAGAAAACACAAGTATTTAAAAATGAAAAGTAAAAAAATTGTATCACTTAGAATGCTGCAATTTTTGTAGATCAAAAATATAAAAACATTATTATCAGGTGCTGATAAGTCGAAAAAAGCAAAAGAATTCAAGTGCTGCGCTTCCTGTATTTACAAATGACTAACAAAACAGATAAGATGCAGAACACCATGCATTCAAACAGAAATCTATAAAATGAGGGTGCAAAAAACGACTTTTTTGGAAGTTCAGCATCTGCCGACATAATCAGATCAACAGCTATGATTTGGTATTCTGCTTCTGGTTCAATGAAACGCTAAGAGAATTCCTAGATGCTAAATGATTAACACCAGTTACTACACCTCATGGGCCTTCTTGATTCACTCCCAAGGTCGCGCTCAGGACGGTTCTGCACAGGATGAATATCCATCAACGGGACAGGGCTTAAGAGAGAAGTTGTCTTCAGAGTTTTTGAAAGTTACGCATTCAAAGATAGTTTTCACTAGATCAGCCTAAAGATGAGTTAAAATTTCAGATTGTATTGATTACTATTTTGAACTTGACGATTCCCCTTGTCATATTCATTCCCGAGTGGAATACTTCAAGTTGTAATTAACGAAATGAAGCGATAACTTCAAGCAAAGATTTCTCTGGCACAAGAGAGGAATTAAACATGCTGGGATTCAAAAAACCATCATTCTTGATTCTCATTCTTTGCAGGTCTAATTAATCTCGATGTGGTCGGATTGGCACAGGGACAGCTCAGTGTGGTGAAAGTTTTGGTAATCCCGGCAAACAATGAGGTACGTTTTCTCTATTGTCTTTTCCCACAATTCTTGCAATGGATGAAACTACGAACTGGACAGGGCGGGAGCCATATCACTAGGTTGCTGAATTCGGAGCACCAAACTGACAAAATATTTCCAACAGAAAATTTTCCCTTCTTCAAGTTACTTCCTATATTTTCCCAGGGCAACTTTTTCATCTAGGTTAGCGGTTGGGTTCCACAGTGTAGCTGAGACTGCAGACATTTTTGAGCCCAAAAAAGACGATTTTGCAAGTCAGGATCCTTCCCCAGAGTTGGTAGACTGAGACGAGCGCTTTCCAACAGTTTTTGGTCAACTGAAATAAACCGGAAATTGGCCAGACGCTGCAATGGTAGGAGTGGACTTCGTATCATGGAACAATTGCTAACTGTTGAATGCAAGGCTTTGACCCATCTTTCAAAACTTGAAGAGGCTTCTTCTTGGCTTCGTGAGTCCTATGTGCACCACAAGATCTTTCAGAGGGGATCTGGTTCAGAGAGCTGAGCTGATGTCACTTCGGTAGTTTTGTAGCAGAGAAACTAGAGTTTAAAGCTGACTGTTAATGAATTGTACAGGGCTGGTAAAATGGCAAGTCTTTTGGTAGAGGAACGAAACATTAATCCACAAAAATCTTTTTCCAAATCTAACTATGCAATGAAAGTTGCTCAGAACTATTTGTTCATTTCTTGGATATCTTCTAAACATCTACAGCAAGATACAAATCTATTTTCCGTAGCTAAGCTGTTTACCACTTGTCCACGAACTGAAGTAAGAACGATATTCTTGATATTGTAGAGACTTCCACAATTTTTTCCAGAACATGGGGTCATCAACGATTGGAACCACGGTTGAAAATGATGCTACAGGGGCACACAAATCTAGGTAATGGCAAGCAATACCTAGAAACCATAGCTTGTGTACATTAATATGTCAGGCATTCAACAACATACAAAACGTTTAGACATAACAAAACTACACAGGAATTACTCTAGGTGCAAGGATGCATGGCTGATTGATTATGGTCATTATAAAAAAAAAAAAAAATTCATTTTTCTCTCAAAATAATGTGATGTTGATTAAATTAGAAAGAACATATTTATCGAAAAGGTACTTTTCTATTTTTTCATGTGAAAATACTATGCATGGGCAAGTAATCGTGATGGTTTGGATATTAGGCACAGGCGTTTCTTTAATTTCAAAACAACAATGAAAAAGGAATGGTGCAGGGCAGTTAGTTTTTCAAATAATGCTATGATAACCTGTTTCTACAAACAGGTTAAAGTAATCGTAAGTAATCACCAGAAAATGACCTTGATAAACTTGTTTACTCTTAGCTGCCTTCAAAATAGAACACACAAAAAAAAAACCTTGCTTAGATCAGTAGAAGTAGCTAATTAATAATGCCATTGAAGGTTGATTCAGTGAATTGTCATTGCTTATGATTCATTCTTCATCACTTCTGAAAAAAATCTTCTGAGTATATTTGATTAGATTGATAAGAAAATTTCAAGTTTTTCTAGATTTTCATGGTTGAATGATCAAAATTTTGAGTTTTACTAGATTTTAATGGTTAGATGATCATAATGAGACCTCTCTCCCTACTGAGATAAAGGGGCAAAATGATTATTTTTCTAAGACTCAAGACAAAAACAATTTAGGAATCAAATTTAACAATTACAAAAATTGATATTGGAAAATTTGACAGTTTAAAAACCGTTTTCTCATGAGGACGAAGGCCTAAATGCTTACTTTGATCATCCTCCAGTTTAAAACATAGAAATTTTTTTTTTTGTTTTTAATTTTTACGTCAGAATGTTTTGCTTCATCATTATAATAATAATGAAAGTATAGGGCAATAATGCTGATGAAAAATTTTCTCTATTATACAGAACTAATAGATATTTGAGATACGAGCAGTGACACATGATTTATAATTGCTTGTGTTTACTGAAGTTGTTCTAGCAGGGATGATTATAAAATCCCATGAATGACTCAGAGGCATTTAACAAAGAGTGGTAGATCTGAAGATCTCAAATTTTTGGACTTGTGATATGAACAAACTGCAAAGGGATTAGCTCCCGTGACGGAGGAAAAATGGTTTGACAATGCAATGGAAAAAGGGTGGCTAAAAAGGCTGCTAATCAATTAATGATATGAGATATGCCTTGAGTAAAAAATTTAGTAATACATGATATTAACTAATTTTCCAAATTCAAGGTGTTCTGTTACAATACTTTAAGTAGTTTGACAAAAATGTATTTGATCATATAATGGCATTTTGATGCAACAATTGATTAAGAATAGATGGATCATTTTTAAAGGAGGAGCATAATCTGAGTCGTCTGAATACATATATCTAACTTAACATGAAATTTATTGATGATTTGAGAGGGAGGGGAAATGTTAACAGTAAAATTATTAGTTTTGCTGTTCAATAGGCATTGGGATTTTTAATTTGTGAGCACAGTGATATTTTCAGGCAGGAGAAAAGTGAAATACATTACAATTTTTTTCTTTAAAAAAGAGGGTATAAAAATTAGAAAACCACACACAGAGGGAGAAAGCTCAACATTTGCAAGAACTATAAGTGTAAGGAGACAAGATTTTCAGGCTAGCGTTACAGTGCAAATCAGGGTAGAACCAAGCAAGAAGTCATGAAAAGATTGATCTTACCAGCTTCAGTGGTCGCTGGGGTTTCATTTGATGGATCCAGCGGAACATTTCCACAAGGTAGTTTCTTGACAAATTTACAATTGGGAGACCACATTCGATGATCAAACATGGGGTCATCGCCTCGCACCCAGCAACCTACTTCTACTCCACAAAACGCACACCGTACAGTGTCATTGTTTTGATTCAGATAGTAGAATCCTGCGGAGGCCAGCTGACTGGGATCCATGAATGACACAGGCCAGTTTTCAAACGAACGAAGCCTGTCTGCTTCGCGGCAAAAGTTCACATGACCGACACTCCAATTTGGCCTCTCATCCATCGGTTTGGCCGATCTGAGGGGTATGCTCACAGTATGCTTTGGTGATGGAGACATCTGAAACAACAAAATACCACAATGTTACTCTTAATATAATATTAAAAACTGAATATGCAACATCAGAATGGATAAATTTACGTGAATTTTGGATTGGAATGCCTAATCTTCTAAATTTTAAGAAAATTTCTGAACTTTTGAGGCAACACAGAAATGATGTCTTGGTGAGGTTTTGCAATTTTGTCTCAAGTCAAGCTGAAATCGTGTGATTGGTCGCATAAAAATATGGAGTTGCCGTAACTTTACTTAGGGTCATTTAATTCTTTTCTTCAATTTACGCCATTGAAATTGCACTGTCCTTCGACCAGAAAAGCTCACGGAGGAAAACTCAACAGAGTATCTCCTCCGATAAAAAATACACTAAAAAGAGATCCTCAGAGGAGGGGTCAAGCCAATTAAGTACTAGTTATACTGATAAAGAGTGCCTTTAAAATGTATATGCCACACTGCAATGCCTTCTTCATCACAATACTAAGTAATTTGCATGAGTCTATAACTGCAGTTATTTTAGCTTCTCTCTCTTTTCTTTTTCCAGACAAAATATTAGAAGAGAAAAGTAATACTTTAAAAGGCAGATCTAATTGTGACTTTTGAAAAAGGTCAGTTGTTTCCTAAGGCGTACATTTTAGAAAAGAACAATTTAAAATTACAGAAAATAGCTAATTCTATAAAAAGGAACTTTTAACCATGATACAGTCGCCACATTGTTGTATTTGTCGACATTCATGAAAATGCAGATCAGTGATCAAGAAGTTATGAGGATGACATTGATAGTTGGAGGTTTACAACAGGGCAAACAGCTGTTTAAAGGTAAGCTCTGCATGTAATGTTTTCATGATGAAAGTTCACATTGGGTGTGGTTTTTCAGTCTATTACCTAACCTGCTTACGACCATGAAAATTGAAAAAAGGAAATTCTAAAATCCATTCCAGTAACTTACAATTAAGCAGATTTACTACGGGAGGACATTCACTTGCTGGAAAGCTCTCCATAATCAAGATAGTGCAAGGTCGGAATTGTGGGAGATCAGAGACACCATTCCAACATACAGACTTTTAATTCTAGGAATTAAATACAAGTACAGAAACTGAGCTACGTACTACTGATTTCATTTTGGAAAGTAAGATGGAAACAGGATGGAGAAGGTATAGTTCCAGAAACTGAGGTTTCAGCTGAGGAACCTCAGGGGTTAGCCGTACCCAGTACTCAGCCCAAATAAACATCGTAAACCGTAATTACCACAAGGGAGAAAGCAGTGCTTTGGAGCATTTTGACGAGTAATCAATTTATTAAATGAAATTCATCTCATCATATGTGTAAAAGAGCTCCTAGACTGACTTTAACCTTCAGATAAAGGCCTCCGACTTCGATTCAATTCCCCTACGAATTATGTATTAGGGCCTAAGCAAATCTCAGAAACTCTAGCGCATTGAAGGGGGAGACTTCCTACTGATTGCGGAATCTTACCATTGCGTGTGTAAATGCCAAGATGCTAAAATTATGCAATGAGCGAGAGGTGACAGCTAAGAACTAAAGATCTTGCCACATTAGTTGGTTCAGTTTAAGATACAGAATGCACTCATGGCACTTAGTGATCTGCCAGAAACTAAGAGGATAAAAAATATGTAGGGGAGTAATCCTTCAGTGGGTAATCCTTCGGTAAGCCACGGTACAGACACTAACAGAGAAAAAAGCACACATTGGACACTTTGAACGGAGAGGAGGTATTGACCATTGAGCACTGGACTTTTTTCACATTTATTCACCAAACCAAATATTCATACGGGGACAGCACGAAAATGGATAACCGAAAAAAGCACTAATGATGGATTTAGATTTACTGAGAGGAACAACCATATGTGCAGGTGAGCAGAGGGGATGAATTATTGAAAACACAAAAAATCGACGCCATTTTGCAAGATATATGAAATGCCACGGAGAAATAGAACACGCGATTCTTCAGAAAGAAGCAAAACACGTTGAATTGAGTTAAGGGCGCGGAAATGGTTTGCCTCCACGTTTCAATTGAGCATATTGATGGGTGGGTTGGGTCCACCAAATTAATGAATATGAAACTGGGCACTAGATACTTTGCTAAATCCTTCAATGAACAAAACTTCCGAAATATGTGTTGCCGAAAAAAGACACCGATCAGGATAAAGAAAGAGAGTGCACGCTTCCGAAAACTCGCGGGGAGGTACGCATCCAGCCGTGAATGGATACCCAGAAATGGCGAACGGGCTATGGCTGTGCATTGCAGGAAGACTGACAACTCTGGTCATTTACGACATAGCGGATCGACGCCACACACAGAAGATAAATCCAGAAGAACATGTACAGCAGGAATAATCCGGTAGAAAACTTGCAGGATAACTTGAAATAATCCACAGGAGAGCAAGATCACTGAAAACGCCACCACACAGAACGAATCGATGAAATCCACGATGGGGAGGCAGACATTATGCCACCATTCATAGAATGAAACGACCTCGATTCCGTCAGATTCACAGTTTTAGAAGGGAAATAATGTGGTAAAACGCACGAAATATACTCCAAAAGTCGACGCTGAAACTTACCTTGATGGTTTATTGATGATACTTTTGAAAGGGATAAAAAAAAATTGAAAAACCCTAAACTCCGTAGAATTAAAATAGCGCTCGCACTACACACCACATCGCCGAGACAGAACTGCGCGGTGGAGGGGCAGACTTCCGCTGAGGCGGCACGATAGAAGGGGATAGGAGTGGGAGACGGAGAATGAAGAAGAGGGGAGCGCCAGCGCTACGCTGCTACGCTGGCAACCGTAGTCGACGTACAATGATGTTAATTCATATACTGAACAGCGTTGCCGCTTCTATCGACTGATTCATTGAACAAAGGACAAGCCTGAATGATTTCAGTCGGAACTGAATTCAGAATCTGTTACGACTGGCTCTCATATTCAACGATACGTCGATTCCAGCACTTCAAAAGCGTACTAAGTGTGAGATTATCGAGAATTTCGAGTCGAAATCGGAAAATCCACCGGGTGCGTGGGTTGGCAACAACGAGTAGAAAGTTATGTCGGCGTTGCCTAGTCTAGCAACCTCATTTTTTTGACCTCAGGAATGCAGTCCGCAGTCGTGCAGCACGATCAACCAGCATGATCAGTCTCTGCCTACGGTCTACAGTTCATGAGCTAACAACAAAGAGACCTCAGACTTTGAAACGAACCCAGTGGAGAGAGATTCGTAGACGCTACCTTCAGTACGTTTTTTTCGACCACGTTTTGATTGTGATGAGAATATAATTCTCTCGTCAAATTCTTCCCCTGCCTCAGATATTGGAATTCCGTATGGGAAAAATAGAGAGATAGATAGATAAATATATATTTTATCCAGAAAAAAATACTACAAAAAATATATTTTCTACCATCGCCACACTGACAATGAGCTCAGCTCGTGTAAAAAATAGTAAAACACAGGTTAATACGAGAAATTACTACTTTTGAAATATACGTACAATAAAAAACAAATTGAAAAGTAAAAATAATAGAAAAAAGAAGGAAAATAGAAAAGTAGAATAGTAAAAACTCACTATTCTTCTACTAAGCGAAGGAATCCTCGACCCTGATGGTGATTGGGGAATTTTTTTTTTTTTTTTCAGAATACATTTAAGTACGAGGAAAAGTAAAATTATTCGTGGCCCAGCCTCCTGTGATTTGTATCACTACTAGCCTGATGAAAATTATCGAGGAAAATTGAAGAAGGGTAAGATGGCAAAAAAAATTGTAGGCACAATTTGGCTTGATTATGAGAAGAGGATTGAACAATTGGACTGCCTTTTTGTAAGAGAATAGATAGTTTGGGTTCTCGTCATGTCCAAGCGAAGCGGAGTTAAGTACTATTTCAGCCTTTCTTCCCATCATAAAATTAATTTAAGTAACACGACTTTCTGTTTAAAATTCGTTTCGTCATTTTCCATTACCCTCTTTGGAATTGGAATTGGCCGAGAATATCCCGTATAATTTCCTCCAGGCTCCTCAGTTCACACAGAAAAAACATTATGAACAAAATTACGCGATATAAACTGACTAAGATGCTTTCAGAAAGACGAACTCGACATTTGAATAAAACACTGAGCGTAAACAATGGAAGATCATTCGAGGTTGGGTTCGAACCCAACATGCAACTATTTGAACTCCGCTGTGAGCCGGGTTGCATACGCTCGAGGGAAACACGAATCATACCCGTACCCCACTTGCGAGGGGCGTACATTGCGAGCGCCGCACAGAGGATCGAGATAATTAGAGAGGCGGGACATGTATGTTTTATACTAAAAATGCAAATTTTGATGTTTATTCCGTCACAATTTAGATTTTAAGGGGCGCTTCTACAAAAAAACTTCACGAGGGAACCAATGGAACCACTTTTAAAATCTTAAAGTTTTGTGTAAGCGGAGTTATAAGCGTTGAAAGGTTCCAAATTTTGTCCGACCTCTCCCATTGACTCGATCCACCGTGCGCCGTAAGTCGCGAGCGCGGGCAGATCTCAGATTTCGCCCGCAAAACGTAGCCTAGGCAACCCAGCCCACCCTGAAGTTAAAATAGTTGCATGTTGGGTTCGAACCTAACTTCGTATATTATTCCATTGTTGCTCGTGTTGTTCTGGGTTGAAAGACAGGGCCGGATCAAGGGGGTGGCCACATGGGCCACGGCCCATGGCGGCAAATCTATAGGAGGCGGCAAATTTTGCGATTTTTTTTAAATGTAGGTATAAAAAAATTCGAATTTAGATCAAAAATTACAAACGAGAGAAGGCGACAAAATCTCTCATTTCCTGGGGGTATAGTAATTTCTAATTTTGTCGTCTTTAAGTGATACAAGAGAAAGCACCTTTAATAATTAGTCGAGTTAAGAGAGAAACCAAACACGCAATTTGGCCTGGAACGGCGCGACTTAGAGAGAAATGATGACGAGGACTTGAGATGAGAAGGAGAAGCCCTCGGCGCGGCGATCGGCATGTAACACATATTGGCGCCCACAAGACTGCACGAATACTTCACGCATTGCATCAAACACAGTGCGGACATTGCGGTCAGCGCGAAACGCACAGCGCCTACAAGANGAGAAAGCACCTTTAATAATTAGTCGAGTTAAGAGAGAAACCAAACACGCAATTTGGCCTGGAACGGCGCGACTTAGAGAGAAATGATGACGAGGACTTGAGATGAGAAGGAGAAGCCCTCGGCGCGGCGATCGGCATGTAACACATATTGGCGCCCACAAGACTGCACGAATACTTCACGCATTGCATCAAACACAGTGCGGACATTGCGGTCAGCGCGAAACGCACAGCGCCTACAAGACTGCGTGAATACTTCACGCATTGCGTCCAACATAGTGCGTTCAGCAGCGGTTGGCGTGAAACTCACAGCGCCTACAAGACTGTCGGAATACCTCATGCATTGCGCCAAACACGGTGTGGTCTGCGCGGCGCGGTGGCGGAAGTTAAAATCATTAATCCACATTTATGTTTGTTCTTTCACAATTTTTTAGTTCACTTCTTATGAAACGAAGGCCTTGGCCACAGGGAGATAGGTTTACGAAACTTAACTTTCGCGCAAAGTTCCGTGAAATTTTGCTACTATTGTTGACAGGGCTTTCCCGAAAAATGTGTTCAACAGGAGTAAACGTGTCTTCGGTGTCTTATGCACCCCTCCTCCGCTGGCACGTTCATATGATGGTTTTTATTGATGTTTCAAAACGAATAAGAAGGGGGCGGCAAAATACAGGCGGCCCATGGTAAAGTAGGTAAATTCGGCCCTGTTGAAAGAGCGTTCCGATATCGATGATGTTTAAGAAACGGCTGAGATTTCATCAAAATGCTAGGTATGAATATTCTTATTTCATTTACCTGAACCGCAACCTGATGAAGTACACGAGAAGTAGAACAAATGCAAACATGCAATTCGGATGGAAACCCCCTGGGAAATTTTGTTTGTGGTGCAGCTTATTGCATTTAATTTTCCTTAGTTAGAGAGGGTAGGCAATATGCGCTCTCCAGAGTTTGAATAATGGTATCAGAATCTTTGGTCTTGTTTAAACGTGTAACCAGTGCTTTTACCCTCCCTACTGCGAGAAGTTACCACATGATAATTCACGATAGAGATTTTACACGCATTTTTGACCCTTTGGTCTATGTCACCCCCAAGTCTATGTCGATATTATTCAGCGGATTGCATAGACGGCAACATGAATTTTTACCTTTCGTTACGAATATTGTTTGCGGTTATGCTCTTTTCATCCAAACACTTTTAACGGCGTAATTTTGGAATTGTTTTTGGAGTCAACAGTTAAGGTGTAAGGAGGCATATTATGACATTGTCGATGAGGACCTTCAATTTTAACTTCATGTGTTATACACATTGAAAAAAGTCTCGAGAATCCAAAGTCCCGACTCTTCGAACATTTGACAAGAAAAAACACTCCAATTTAATCGGATTTTTGCTTGAATTCAGAGCCAAGCCTCTAAATTTAAGCAGATCTTTTTTTTTTTTGATACAGGCAAAAATCCGTGAAATCGAGAGTATTTTTTCTTCATACAGTTACTTACGAGTATTCTGGCTTTCTTTGTCATTGAATTTCATGGCAAATGTGTTTCGCCCCCCATATGGAGCTTCTTCAGTGCCGACATTAAAACTTACACTAAATCACTAAAAACACTAGAAAATCCACCTATGGTCCTCACGAAATCGGCAAAATTCAAAAGTTTATATTTTCGGGTATTTTTTCTGGTCAAATTCTTGCAGATGCCGGAGTCTGGATCCACGACACTCTTTCGGGTGCATCTTTACCATGTTTCGCGTGAAATTTTACTACACTGAAAAAAAAAAAAAAAAAACTCCGGCCGTGGAAGCCGTGCTTACGGGCTATATAGACCTACCGTCCGGGTTCCGGGCTCAGAGGCTGAAAGTTCCGGGCGTAACACCCGGGGGAATTGAAGCTACGGCTCCAGCACCCGGAACTTTCGGTCTCTGAGCCCGGAACGACCGGTATGTCTACATAGCCCGTAACTTTTTTTTCAGTGTACGGAAACAAGTCTTACCCTGTATGGCGGTCCATAGCTCGGGGCTTATTAAAACGTGGAAACGCTCGGATAGTCGGAGCTTAATTTTCTTTGTGCCCGGATCAAACCGATCGAGAGGGGCCCGAAGATCCTGAGGGGGGGGGGGCGCTGCGGCGGGATCCAGGTGGTGGCGTCCATCTGTTGCTCGGCGCCAGGTGCCAAAATGATCTTCGGGGACTCCGGGTTGTTATCAAAGATTTGATTCAGCACGAGACCTCTAAAAATGCCTCCTTTCTTCCCGGACCAACTGCACGTGCTGCGTCTTCTACGCTTACGCTACGCTCGTCGTAAACTCCGCGCCACCCTTCCGAGCTCCCCCGTCGCCACCCTCCCCTTCCTCCCCGGCGACCTTACGCGCCGATCCGACCACACTCCCTACATCCCCGTTGCCGTTTCGCTCCCGAAAAGCCGGATCCTTGTAT